TTCCTTTGTATTAAAATTCATCAAAGGACTTTTCTTGCGATAAGTTAACAATTTTATTCAATTAAAATCTTAAAAGAGCATGACAAATTATAATTTTTATCTTTCTTACATTGAATCCTATTGTTTATACATTTTTAATCGCATTTCAATCATATATTTTTGAGGTCCACATATTTGAATTACTTAAATAAAAACTAATCACTTCACTTCACTCTGGTTAAAATAAATTGCGTCAAGAATTTGTGTAATAATTATTATGATGAGAATGTTGAAATCCATAAAAAAATAGCAAGATTAATTCAATCTCGATTTAGAAACAAATTGATATATATATTAGAGAAGTATTATTCATGTTATTTGCTTTTCAAGATTCACTAAAACAATTTATATTTGATTTTACAAATATGTATATTCAATAATAAATTCCAAGTTATCTATGACATAATTTCAATCAAATACAAATTACCACCGCATGAAACAATGTTATTTAAAAACCTATAAATAAAATTTGTGAATCTAATTTTGAAGACAATGATAAATACTAAACCAATATTTGCCAATAAGCAAAGCAAACGTTTTTTACAACTCGTTTCTTCAAAGACAAGATGATGTACTATTTTCACGTCATGAATTAAGAAAGTTAGCTCTATCAAAAGTGTTATAGCAAACGATCTACCTGTACCTGCACATATGATAAACGGCACATTAGAATGTATGGCACAGGGTTAAGGTCAATCAAAAGTTAATTTATTGAAGTTGAATTGGCGACTTAAATCAAAGAATGATCTCTCTTGAAAATTAGCATTGAAATTTTAATGAAAGTCATCGGAAATTATTGAGTGTCCATAATGCTTAGGTTATAAAAGTAATTAGATTGAGTGCGAAAATAATGGAACATCATTGAAGAACAATTGGACCAGAATAATTATTATATATAATATTTATTTGGTTGATTGAAAAAATTCGAGATGCATGTTAATAATGTGTTAATAACTTAGCATTTTTATTTCATAAAAAATTAAACTCTGTATAACACTACAATTTTTGTGAATATAAAGGGAGTAAAGCACTAAAAAGATTTATGAAGCTTTCGATAAATATTGGATTTAAATAAAAAGAAGTTGCATGAACTTCCCAATGAACCTCCGAGAAAGACTAACAACATAATACAATGCACGCGCTGTCAACTCTTTAACCATACCAAAAAATACTGCAATAGACCATTTGCTTGCCTAAAATGCGGTGATACAATAAATATTTAGCAATTTTCAAAATTGTGGCAATAGTATTTTGAAATTGTGACACTGCCTATTACACAAAATTTGTTATAAATTTTCATAATCAAACCACTTTTCCTAGGCCTGTAATATTTTAGGATGAAGACCATGAACTCTATCATCATCAAAGACTCATAAAATTGTCAAAAAAAATGACAAAAATTAATTACAAAGGCATGGTACGAAATTTTTCAACTTCAATCTTTCAAACGGTTTTTGAATTAACTAAATCTGTTCAGGATTCTTGGTAAAAACGTGGACGAAAAGTTTTGCACATTTCTGTTAATTCTAAAAAAATAGCTCGGTCAATAGTCTTGCAAACTTCTCCTTCGGGAAGTTAATAAATAAATAAAAAAAATAAAAGAATAAAGTCAATAAAATAGAGTACAAATGTAAATATTCATCAAAATAATGAATATAAATACTATTCTCCTTTGTAAAACTAACATGAAAATATATGTTGGCATTTCATATAAAGCCTTCAAAAGCTCTTATAGTTTAATTATCCCAATTAACGCTTTTTGTTTATTTTCATTATAAAATTTAGAATTGCATATGTTGAATATAGAAAAAATAAATATAAAATATTTTTCTTATGATTTTTCTACAAGTTTTACACTCAGAACGTTACCAGTAATACCTTTGGCTAATTTCCCAGACCAATAAGAACTAAACTAATTTAAATAATGAGCCAAATAGCTTTTAGGATCAAATATCGAGAAAAGTCATAAATTAATTAATAAAAATAACTAATAAAAACTAAACACAAATAATTAATAATAACATAAATAAATTAATTAAAATAACAATTTTAGTAGACAGAAGAGACAAAATCAATAGGATTCTACTCGGACCCTAAATAATAGATCTATTAAATTCCTAAGTTCAACAAAATGTGTTTGATGTAAGGGAAAGCCAAATAGAAAAAAATCGTGATGAAGTATATAAGATATAAGTGGCAACATTTATTTAATAGAATTTACTAGTCCCAGGTTCGATCCCACTTCGGCCAAGCTCGATATCAAGCAGTATAAGATCTGCTATAGATCTCAAACATCATCTAAAGGGCATCAGAGACAAGTTAATTCTATTTGATATTCATATAGAACATAGTTAAACAAAGAAAAGTGGTTAACCACTGGGTTGTCCTCTCATAAAAAATAGCAAATTGGAAAACTAAATCAGCAATAGCAGCTCAAAGAACACGAAGATCTGATCGTTGTAAAAAAACAACTTAATCAGAAATAACGAGTAAGAAGTATTGGAAAATGTAGAAATTTTGGAATAAAAAAAGGTACATGACGAATAAGTGCTGGTATGTCGAAAATTTTATGATTTCACTATAAGTCGCAGATCAGAACATGAACCAAATAATATCTCAATAATTTAAAAAATTCTAAAAACCTGGTTCAATTATAAAACAGTTACCTTTGTTTGTTTCATTTTGCGTGGGATTAGCATAAGTGTGATTGTCCGTGTGCAATTTTTTCATCAGATCAATAATGACATCATCAGTATCAATACCATGTAGGTATGACCATGTGGGTGAACACGAATTTTTGCAATTATGCCCGCTGGTATTTCTACATATACGAGATCAGTGTCTCATTACGGTGTTGTAATAACATGTCTATTTGAAAATTGGAAGAGGATTCAATTTTGTAAGCCATAATTAATTTTCCTTTTGGGGAAAATCAAGTAACGTAGAAGCTTGGGAGATAACAGTTGATGGCATGAAACCATTTCTTCTTTTAAAATACTATTTTTATAAAATACTTAAAAATCTATTAAAATTGTTATGCTATTTCTTTTGTTCTTTTCAGAATGAATAATCACAAATATCTTTTTTATTAGTTTTGAGTTATAATTTTTCCGCAAGTCAACGATCACTTTCTTTTGACATAAGAAAGTATGAAATTGTCTTACTTATAATACCAGATGAATATTTCAGATACAGAGAACAGGCAACCATATAAAATTGAAAGTGAATTTATATAAATCTTATATATAAAACTCTTCTGTACGGGTGTATGATTTGATACTTATCCTAAACGGTTATTCGAATTTTGATAATTCTTTTTAGAGTTTGTCAAAGGAAATTTTTAAGATTTAATGAACGATAAAACTTTAGTATCACGGTTAAAATAAATGGCAAAAATTACAAAAAAAACACTTATCATTGTTTGACATTGAAAACATTTGAACTTTCATCTGCTAGAAATGTCAATTTACTTGAAATTTGAATTTAGCTGAAATTATGAGCCTAGATAATATTAGAATATAATACACAAGAAAAATGTAATGTCTACATCATTATTGCCGAAAAGCAGCTGTAATGTGCCAGAAATTAAAATAATATAAGATACAGTCAACAGTATAAATTTGGCAGATGAAATTATATAATTCAGTCTAATAAATAACGCAATAGGTCCAAAATTGCATATTAATTATATTTTTAAACTTATGCATGTCGCATTTTGGTTTACTTTACTAAATTATTTAACAATACAAAAAAATATTTCTACTTATTAAAAAAAATATTTATAATTTTGTTTCCTATGTCAAAAATTCATTTGTTTGGCATTGGATATGGAATATTTAGCAAGTTGATCTTAGATTGAAGAGTGCTCATATGAACTAGATTTTACAAATTCACCTAAGATTTGAACATGAACAATAATGTTTATTAAATTATTAGTAAGAAAAATGTAATTTAGAAATTTTCAATTGCCTAAAAGCAACTAATATATCGTACTAGATTATGAAAATTATCATTATATAAAAGACTAAATTATTGAAGCAATTATGCTGTATGGTAAAATCTTGATATTGTTCTTTTACCAGAAGATGCTATATTTTTTTCTGAATTTCTTATACTGCTTATGCTAAGACCATAAATGAATCACAAAGGCAGGACATCAAATAGGATATTAAAAAGTATTGGATAGGATATTAAAAAATTTGGAACTTTTGAATTGTAGACGTGGATACAAGACAACGTCTGTCGGGTCATCTAGTATATATATACTAATATTTTCTTTGAAAACAAAAATACAGAATTTAAATTTACATACCTAAATGCTTCTAAAACAAAATGAGAGCTGAACTTTTATTGTATATATTTTATTTTTATTAAACGTTTATAATTATTTTTTAATCTTTTATTTATTTTATTAATGTTTTATAATTAAAATAAAGGTTTTATTCATCTTTTACAATAATTTGCTCTATTTTACAAAAAAGCTTCAAAAAGTACTGGATTTTAATTTTTTTTTATTATTTCCTCAATTACACATCATAACTGTTTTTTTTCAGATATGCATAATGTGTTAATTATAATGTCGATCATTTGGTGATAATCGGCTACAAAAATACAAATTTTACAGCTCATTAGCACGTAATGAGCCCATTTCAGAATAATTAATGAGTCATTTTAAATAATTACCACATAAATATTGATAACATATCAGCTGTTCACGATTATTTAAATCATATATCGCACAAGAAAAGGTCGTTGGATAAAAGTTTAGTATAAAAACTTAACAAAAGCGAAAATAAAATTTTCTAAGGTGAACCGATATAAGAAAAGAGATATTCATAATGTTCAATTTGGAAGATAGATTTTATAAAAATCTTATAGAGCATGTTCTTAAACTTTATATATATGATGCATATAATAGAATATAATAAAATAAAAATCAATAAGTAATCTTTTAAACTTACCTCCGCTTATAATTCCCGTTTTATTGCGAAAGTTTTAGTATTCGTATAAGCATTTCGGTCTTCTTTTTATTAGCAAGACCTGCAAAAGTAAAAAGAAAAGAACACAGTCAGATCTATATTTAAGAAATGTGAGCAATTTGATGAGCAATATAAAACATTGTTCAAAACAAATATAATAAAACTTCTATTTTCGTTTAATAGTATTTTTAAGCATCAATATCTATCATCATATAATAACAAAAACATGCGCACTATATTTATTCTTTAGATTTATGCGCACTATCCATTTTTCTTTAATATGCATAGCATGTCATTCAAAGAAAAGTCCTGAGAATAGTAGAGAAAGGACTCTTCCTAAAGAGAAAAGGAAACTGGATCGGACCCATTCTGCAAAAAGAGTGCCTACTAAATGACGTCGGTGAAGGTAAAACACAAAGACTGAAAGGATTGGAAAGAAAAAGAAGGCAGATGGTTGATGACTTACGCGAGAAGAGGAAGGAAATACAGGGATCTGAAAGCCGAAACACAAGACCAAGGACATGGAAGCAGAAGTTTGGAAAGGAAAATTCATAAGAGTGAATAAAAAGAAAATAATTGTAATAAAATGGTAATCGGAATAATAAACAAGAGAGGAAAAAAGAATTATTGATTGGTGGTGCTCTCATACCATGGACCTGCCTTCGGGAAGACTACCATTTATTATTATTATCATTCAAAGTGATTTTTTTAGCAAATCTATTTATCTTTCTTCAAATATTGAAGATCAACTTGTTCGTAGCTTGGTGATAAAAGTTGAAAGCACAAGGTTCCAGGTTGATTCACGCCTCTTGAAACCTGATATCAAGCAGTAGTGATATCAGTTTTCACAAGAAATTAAAGATCTGAATATGATTTAAAGATGGGATTGTTCGTGGCTCAGTGATAAAAGTTTTGGCCAAGCAATCAATGGTCCCAGGTTCAATTCCTGCCTCGAGAAACTTGATATCAAACAGCACTGATATCAATTTTGAATGGAAAATAAAAATCTAAATATGATTTCAAGTAATAGTCTTTCAGAGTTTGGCTTTGCAATCAATGTTTCCAGGTTGAATACCCTCCTCGACAAATCTTATAACAAGCAGTAGTGATATCAATTTTCACTGGAAAATAAAGATCTCAATATGATTTCAAGTAAAAATAGTCTCTTGGGATGTACCACATGACGATCAGAAATGGGATTGTTCGTGACTCAGTGATAAAAGTTTTGGCCTTGCAATAAGTAGTTTCAGATTCAAATCCCGACTCGAGAAACTTAATATCAAGCGGTAGCGATATCAGTTTTCACTAGGAAATACAAATCTAAACATGATTTCAAGTAAAAATAACATTTCAGGACGTTGTTGCAATAAGTGACATTACAACTAAAAATTGTATTGTTCGTCGCTCATTGATAAAAGTATTGGCTTTGCTATCAATGGTTCCAGGTGCAACTCCCCCCTCAACAAACCTGATATCAAGCAGTAGTGATATAAGTTTTGACCAGAAAATATAAATCTATACATGATTTCAGGTAAAAACAACATTTCAGGACGTTGTTGAGATCAATGGTTCCGTGTTCTTGATATCAAGCAGTAGTCATATCAGTTTTAACCAGAAAATACAAATCTAAACATGGTTGTAAGTAAAAATAATTATTCAGGACCTTGTTGCGATCACATAACTATAAGAATGGGACTATAAGTTCGTGGCTCAGTGATAAATGCTTTGGCTTTGCAATCAATGGTTCCAGGTACAATTCCCGCCTCTAGATTCTTGATATCAAGCAGTAGTGATATCATTTTTCACCAGAAAATACAAATCTAAACATGATTTCAGGTAAAAACAACATTTCAGGACGTTGTTGAGATCAATGATTCCGTGTTCAATTCCTACCTCGACAAACCTGATATCAAGCAGTAGTGATATCAGTTTTCACTACAAATCCAAACATGATTTCAACTAAAAATCGCCTTTTGGGATTTTGCTATGATGTAACACATAACGATTAGAAAATTCTAATAATATCATCAGAAAAAGAAAAGACAATAGCTTAGTTGCCTTCAAAAATCCTAGGTTGTAAAGAAATACATCACAACAGATCTGATTGCTGTTCAAAAATAATGAAAAAAAAACTGAAAAGAATCAAACATGAATAAATAATACTGAAAACAGATCTATTCGGAAAAAATCGAAACTATGTTGATTCATGAGGTAAACAACAAACATTTGTCCGCTCGCCTATAACAAACAAAACAATTTATTTCAGATGCCGAATCCTAAAAAAACAACATACAATTTTACTCGTCACAATTGGACATGGTAAATATGATAATAAAATCGTAAAAATCTATGTTTCACATTACAACGTAATAAAATGAAATCTCTCAATGTAATAAATAAATATTATCTCTCAATATGCTTACTGTAAAAAAATACTATGATCTTACTTCAACAAGATTGTTCTTAAATGACAATGGAATTTTTAGGAACTGTAACCAAAACAAGAAGTGTGCTTGAATTATACCTAACAAGTAAACTATAATTAATAGAATGTTTGTAACAAATTATTTGAACATAATTATTTGAATCCTCGTAACATATTATATTTAAATCTAATATAAACCTAGATCATTGCTGATAATAACGCCAAGATGCAATGCATTCCATGTTATTTCTAATCTTCATATAAATATGTATGCGCATATTATAATTTGGCTAGATGTTTGAAAACGGCATCTCAAAATAACTTTTGCAACATCATTAATTAAAAATATAACTTACAATGATGCATTTTCATTAGATCAATTTAAATGCATGTAAATTGAAGTCAACGTTGATAATAATTATATAGATAAACATTTGAAGGTGTGAATTATATTATTTACTTAAATTATCGCGAACGAAATTTTAAATTTTATTGCGTAGTAATAAATTTAATGAAATTACAAGGATATTACTATTGTGAAAGAGTAAACACATTTTTATAAATTAATTGATTAGTAATATATTCTTAGTAATTGATATGTAAAAAAAAACTCTTGTCAGTAGTGGTATAAATTTATAAATAAAATATGTAGATTTGAGTTATTTTTGCTACAACCTTCATATGCATTATACGAGGTGTGTTCAAAAAGTACCCGGAATTACTAATAATTAAATTTCGCGGGTCTGGAGTGTCTGATTGTCAAAATTTTTTTTTATTGTGTTGGTATACATGCCCCTAAAGTATGATGAAATTTTCAGCTATATTCACTGTTTACTTTGTCTGTGGTAGTCGCTAAGGTTCGACGTGTTTTTCTGAGCTCGGCGATTTTTACAATGGAAGAATTGAAAAGTCAAAGAATTTGTATTAAATTTTGCGTAAAAAATGAAATAAAGTGTTGCAAAGTGCAAAAATTCACCAGATATGGCTCCGTGTGACTTTTTCCTATTCCCAAAGTTGAAGAGACCCATGAAAGGACGGCGGTTTTCCTCGATTGAAGAAAATCGCTGAGAGTGCTCAAGGACATATCAAAAAGTGAATATCAAGGGTGCTTCGAAAATTGGAAAAAACGCTGGCATAAGTGTATTATATCTGGGGGGGACTACTTTGAAGGGGACCACATTAATGTAGACGAATAAATAAATATTTTTTTGAAAAAACGAAAATTCCGGGTACTTTTTGAACAGACCTCGTATAGTAAATATAATAAGTTAAATAAATAAAGCATTCTCAATCAGAGCAATATCAATATACTGTGAAAAAAACTGATAAATTAAATAAATAAATGGATATAATGAAAACAAGCGCAATTTACTCCTATATAAACTTAAATGTGTATATATCTAGTTTTTCATACCACGAATTTCTGTTCTTCGGAAAATGGAAAATAAAAGAAGATTTTATTCCTTTTCAAAATATTTTTCCAAACTTTGATACGACTATTCAAATTAATCATGGACTACCGTATTCAAATAAACAAAATGTTTTGTTTAGATATAAAATAGAACTCTATTAAGATATAAAATTTAAGCCCTAGCTGAGTAATGAAATAAAGCTTAAAACACGTGCCAAGCTAATAATAACGTTTAAATATCATATTTATATCAAATAAATTACGGATTTTATTATATTATGATTATCTAATGTATCTAATCAGTATGAGTTTTTAAGATAATTTAGTAGAACACAAAAGTCGTAGGTACTTTAATTCAATAGATTCACAAAAAAATTAATTGAACATAGAAAGTTACTTATCTGGTATTTCGATGAAAAATTTCATAGTAATAAGATTGATAGTAAAAGCAAACCCCTTAAAATAATATAGACCTGATTTAAATGATTGATATGCTCGGTAAACATGGTTTTGAATTGTTTGGATTTTTTGAGTTATTTTGAGGTTGATAAAGGCGCTTACTCAGGTTTTGGCTAGTTTCTCCGATATAAACCAAAACCTCAACTTTTAAATTCAAAAAAATAAATCAACATCAAATTCAAGACTATTGATTGATTAGTTCAAAAAGTACCCGGAATTTTCGTTTTTTCAAAAAAATATTTATTTATTCGTCTACATTAATGTGGTCCCCTTCAAAGTAGTCCCCCCCAGATATAATACACTTATGCCAGCGTTTTTTCCAATTTTCGAAGCACCCTTGATATTCACTTTTTGATATGTCCTTGAGCACTCTCAGCGATTTTCTTCAATCGAGGAAAACCGCCGTCCTTTCATGGGTCTCTTCAACTTTGGGAATAGGAAAAAGTCACACGGAGCCATATCTGGTGAATTTTTGCACTTTGCAACACTTTATTTCATTTTTTACGCAAAATTTAATACAAATTCTTTGACTTTTCAATTCTTCCATTGTAAAAATCGCCGAGCTCAGAAAAACACGTCGAACCTTAGCGACTACCACAGACAAAGTAAACAGTGAATACAGCTGAAAATTTCATCATACTTTAGGGGCATGTATACCAACACAATAAAAAAAAAATTTTGACAATCAGACACTCCAGACCCGCGAAATTTAATTATTAGTAATTCCGGGTACTTTTTGAACAGACCTCGTATATATATATATATATATATATATATATATATATATATATATATATATATATATATATATATATATATTAAAAATATCTAGAACACATTTGATTGTAGAGGAAAGTTGATTAAACTGTTTGCACCAATGAACTCAAACGCATGTGAGGTTAAATTTGGCAAGTTGTATGGTCGTATCATATAGTTTGCAGTACATCTTTGAGTCATTTCTTAGTCCTCAATGAACATACAAAAATAATGAATAATTTTTATAAAATATCGTTGAAATCTGAACTTTCAGAAATATTCAGTGAAATGTCTAACAAATTCGTTAGCATACAATGGTTCATAAAAAAAATGTATTTATGATTATTTTAGTACAAGGAAAGGAGCAAAAAACGCATTATAGTAAAAATAGCAAAGCAAGAAAGCACTATGTATGCTATCTGTATCACATAATTGGCGCATCTGCCATAAAGTAAAATAATCTTAATTTTAATAACTTAGTAATAGAATATATATAATTGAATGGGATATAATTTACAGTTGTGTTAAATAATCTATTTTCTATGTAAGAGCATTTTTGAATGCAGAAAATATCAAAGATGGAAATAATTTGATGAATTATCAATTGAATCGTGATTTTGTAAGGTGGATGGAGATGTTGCCACTTTACTTGATCTTTTACGAGACAAGTATTCAACCATCCACAGCAGAATATTTCTAAAAATCATGTTTAATCATCAAAATTATGATAAATTGTGATGTGTGCAATCTCAATAGTTGAAAAGATTCAATACTGAAAAGTGGAAATGTGCTTTGGATTGGCTTGAGAAAGAAGATAATATATTCGCTTTTCTGAAACGACGTATTATAAAATCAATTTAAGTCTGTTTACTGAAGAATAGCTAATGGACTACTTTACAAGGCCAAATAAATTAATAAAAAATCATTTACACATTGATATATAAATTGATTCCCAACTTTCAACGATGTTAATCAAATGTTGAAAAATACTGTTGATTGGAGAACAAAAGTTATGATTTTTTATTTATTTATAATTTTAACACAAAGGTCTACCAGGTTAGCATTAAAATCAACAACTATAATGATAAATGTATAGTACTTTAGAAATCAATTTCTCTTTATTTATAAAAAATATCGGTAAAATTATGTTCTTTAGACATTTCATAAATATAGACTTGAATGATAAATGCGTACAATTTCACCTACGGTATGTATAAAGTCATCACATAATTTTAACGCTCTGTTTGTTAAATAAACATTCGGAACTGTATCTAGGCTTCCAAATGGTTATGATATCTTAATAAAATAATATGATAAACTTAAATACTGCTGTTACATGGAATCTACGAATTCATAAACCTATTTTTATCCTTACAATGTGAACAATCTATCTAATCAACAAAGATCATGGTTTTAATTTTCCAGCAGATTATATCATAGAAGAGAAGAAGTCCATATTAGTAGTATGGATTCTCTTCACAAATTTGTGGATAGAGGATAACTAGAAACACGTAAAAAATTCTCTTCTTTCTATGTTTTGCAAAAATGTTGAATTTCAGAAAAATGTAGGTTTTCATTTGTCAAAAATATTTATATGGTCCATTTTGGTAATATGGATTCTCCTCACACATTAGAGAATAATAGAGGATAATCCAAACTATTCAGTTTCTGCAAAACAACTAGAAACAAGTAAAACAATCTCTTCTTTCTATTACTTTAAAAATGTGTTGCAAAAAGTTGAATTGTAGAAAAATATAGATTTTCATTTTTTACAAAAGCTTGGAAGAAGAGTATATTTTTGTAAACTATATCTGTAAAGAGAAGAAATGGCCTGAGATAATTAATTATTTTGGTGAAACCCTTGAAATTAAATAGTCTTACATAAAACAGAACCAGAATTGTCTTGAATGTATAAATAACAATTACAATTCTCTCTTGTAAATAAAAATAGAATTCTTTCCAGGAATTCATAGGAGAAGGAGTATGCACTATTATAGAATAAAAATAACATTAAAATCAGTTAGTAAATTGCAATTTCCAGCAATAGGAAGAAACTGAAATATACATATATCAATTGTTCGAACATGGGATGAAGTTTTTATAAAAAAAAGGTTGAGACACATATGTATAAATATGACAAAAAAAATTTAAATTTCTATAAAATGAGGACATAGATCTCGTAATATTTTTTATAAATTTTATAAAAACCTCCTATAATTTTGGTATTAATATTCAGGTATCAATACAAAAATAAAGGAAAGAAATCTTAGATAAAAGTTTTGATTGAAAATGAATCATTATAAATGATGTTTCCCTAAAAAAAAATCCAAAGCATATTTTAATTTAGAATATAGTTGCTCCAATTATATGACTTGTATAGTATTTAATACTTTTGTATGTATCATTTTTATATATGTATATAGAAAAAAAATTGTCTCCAAAATTAAAGTATGCATGACAGGAAGATCTCCTAAACATCTAACGATCCAGAACTAAATTATATATATATATATATATATATATATATATTAAATAAAAATAAAATAGTCGACAACAAACTATATAATATGTTTATCTTAAATTCTTATATTTCTTTGTCAGTATCAAAAACCAACATTATTTATTAAAAATGCTTTATCTATATTTATCTCAACGATAATATATAACACTTACGTTCGCAATCAAATGATCTCCAGATATCCAATCAAAATAAAATTATGAACACCAAAATAAAACTTTATAACTCATAATGAACACCAATCTCAGCTATCACTTTTCATTAATAATTTCTTGAATGCGAATTATACTTTGCACCAAACACAAAAATAATACTACTGATAAAACACATTCATTACATAAAGCAGAAGAATTTCTATTATTTTACACAATTATAGATAACAAGTAAAAAATCCAGCACATTTTAACCAACAACACGACCACACCACACAAGAACTGATTTGACACAAAATTAAAACCATAGATTATAAATGATGCATGGAAAGGATTGCACAAAACAACGACGCGAAGTTGGCTTATAGTGTGGGGTTGGGCAACATAAGCGGAAGAAAAAATGTAGCCAGTGGAAAATATAAATAAAAAGATTAATGATTGAATTAAATTAAAGTATAATTTATCAACATATTTCTTAAAAATTGCACCCTTTATGCATAATAACTACATTATAACGATTTAATCATAAATAAAAGCAGAGAAAGATTTGATTTTGAACATAAAATTTGTAAACTATGGAAATAATTGAAAAATGTATCATTTTAAGGCTTTCCTGAATCGTTTTCTATCCTAATCTTTCCATAAATTCAATAAACCTTAAATAAAAGTACTACTTTTCTTATTATAATATCCCACTGTCACCAACAATCGTCATGAAGGGTGCGTTCGACTTGGACGCTTACGCGCTGTGAGCGCTCACGCTTATAAGCACGAATTTTTAGCGTTCGACTTGGCCGATAAGCGCTCAGAATCGATAACTAAATTCCGTTCGTTTTGGAAACTGTGAGCGTCAATAAGCATCAAAATGGCGGCAACTGGCGGTAACGGTAATTGTGTAAATTTTATTACTTTCTGGATCATTCAGCGGGATTATACACAATTTAACAATTAATAAATAAATAAAATTTGGTTTGCTTATGCTTAATTAATATTAATATTAAAATTAAAATTTAAAATTATTTAAAATTAATTAAATTTAAAATTAATTAATATTAATATTAATATTAAAAAATAAATGTGATATACAACTTGGCATTTTTGCGGGATTATAAAGAATTTAACAATTAATGAATAAATAAAATTTGGTTAGCTTATGCTTAATTAATAGTAATATTAAAATTAAAATTTAAAATTATTTAAAATTAATTGAATTTAAAATTAATTAATATTAATATTAATATTAAAAAATAATTGTGATATACAACTTGGCATTTTTGCGGGATTATAAAGAATTTAACAATTAATGAATAAATAAAATTTGGTTAGCTTATGCTTAATTAATAGTAATATTAAAATTAAAATTTAAAATTATTTAAAATTAATTGAATTTAAAATTAATTAATATTAATATTAATATTAAAAAATAATTGTGATATACAACTTGGCATTTTTGCGGGATTATAAAGAATTTAACAATTAATAAATAAATGAAATTTGGATAGCTTATGCTTAATTAATAGTAATATTAAAATTAAAATTTAAAATTATTTAAAATTAATTGAATTTAAAATTAATTAATATTAATATTAATATTAAAAAATAATTGTGATATACAACTTGGCATTTTTGCGGGATTATAAAGAATTTAACAATTAATAAATAAATGAAATTTGGATAGCTTATGCTTAATTAATAGTAATATTAAAATTAAAATTTAAAATTATTTAAAATTAATTGAATTTAAAATTAATTAATATTAATATTAATATTAAAAAATAATTGTGATATACAACTTGGCATTTTTGCGGGATTATAAAGAATTTAACAATTAATAAATAAATGAAATTTGGATAGCGTATGCTTAATTAATAGTAATATTAAAATTAAAATTTAAAATTATTTAAAATTAATTGAATTTAAAATTAATTAATATTAATATTAATATTAAAAAATAATTGTGATATACAACTTGGCATTTTTGCGGGATTATAAAGAATTTAACAATTAATAAATAAATGAAATTTGGATAGCGTATGCTTAATTAATAGTAATATTAAAATTAAAATTTAAAATTATTTAAAATTAATTGAATTTAAAATAAATAAATAATATGAATAAAATAAAATAAATAATATGAATAAAAAATAAATGTGATATACAACTTGGCATTTTTGCGGGATTATAAAGAATTTAACAATTAATAAATAAATGAAATTTGGTTAGCTTATGCTTAATTAATAGTAATATTAAAATTGAAATTTAAAATTAATTAAATTTAAAATTAATTAATATCAATATTAATATTAAGAAATAATTGTGATCTACAGCTTGCTATTTTTGCGGAATTATAATGAATTTGACAATTAATAAACAAATGAAATGACAGATAGTAAAAACAACTGACGCTCACGCTCAGCTGCCCTACCTCTGTGGCGTGAGCGTATGTGAGCGCAAAATATGTGCTACGAGCATCCTACGATGGTGCTACGAGCGTACTTATGCCACACTCACAGCGCCAAGTCGAACGATGAAAGCGCGCTCACGGCGCGCTCACAGCGCGTAAGCGTCCAAGTCGAATGCACCCGAAAATGATAGATGAATTTTGACATTTCTCCGAACTGCTGTTGGCTGTCAAAAAATAATTGATAATATATAGTCACAATGTGATATTTATTTTTATATTTTAAAATAAGGAACATGCTGGAGCAAGAACATGTATCATTAAATTTACCCGATATTAAGGAGTCCGTTACTCATAGAAAAAGCATATGGCGTGTAAGCAAAAAATTTACTTACTTATGCAAAATTTGCTGATTCGCTTTGATAATGAATTTAATGTTATTATTTTAGTGGTGGAATCAACTGTCCAGATTTCAACGAAGTCTATTTTATATGATAGTATTAGTTCTATTTTTTACACTCTTATATTTATTACCAAGTCAACATAATGGAGATGGAAAAACTATAGAGCATATACAAATAACACCAATTGAAGCAAATGTTAGTTTTCCCAACATGGCTATTATATATCTACTATATTTTCTAATTCTTATAAATACGTTTGTTTATAGAACTTACCATTTTTACAAAATGATCAAGTGGTATCACCTATTAATTTAAATCAAAATTCAGAAACTAATGGCTTAGATTTAGAAAAATCAATTAAAGAAGTGAGGAAAAATGTGATTGATGAACCAAAACACCACACTGAGGCAATCTATTTAAAAAGTAGTCTTGGGACTAGTCATGGCAAAGTTTTTGATGGTAAAATTGATTATTGATATGTGACTTGTTATCTTTCGACCATTAGCATTCATGACTCACACTAAAATTGGAAATATGTTTTTATTTCAATACTTCATACAGTTTCATGTATATTATTAAATATTCTTCTTAACTATACACCAAGGAATGCAACTGATGTATACATTAGCTTTATGTGAAACCATGAATATGGCTTGATTCTTTAAAATAATTATTTATAGGCCCAAAAACAGAAAGACAGAAAGCAGTTGTTGAAGCCTTCAAGCATGCTTGGAAGGGCTATAAAACATTTGCTTGGGGACACGACCATTTAAAACCAATATCTGAAACTTATCATGACTGGTTCGGATTGGGCCTAACTATAGTGGACTCTCTTGATACTATGTACATAATGAATTTAAAAAAAGGTACGTAGATGTGTTTCTTCAAATATATTTCCTTGAGCAATTATTGACAAAATTGCTATAATTTCATTCAGAGTTCTCTGAGGCAAGAGATTGGGTTGCAAATCAATTAACATTCGAGATTTCCAGAGATGTAAATTTGTTTGAAATTACAATAAGAGTTCTTGGAGGTTTACTAAGTGCTTACCACCTGACAAATGATGACTTGTTCTTGCAAAAAGCAGTGGGTATAAACTTAACATGTTGATGTTCTAACAGCTAAATTAATATTCACCATTTCTTATTAGTTAGATTTGGGTGAACGATTACTTCCATGCTTTGAAACAAATTCTGGAGTACCGTTTTCTGATGTAAACTTGGCAACTCGAAAGGTTTTTGTTAATGTTCATATCATTTATAAATATATCACCATGTAATTAATTTTAACTTTAAATTTAGGCACATTCCCCAAAATGGTCACCAGACAGTTCCACTTCTGAAGTGACAACATTACAACTAGAATTTAGAGACTTAAGCAGAAGCACTGGAGATGAACGATTTGAAGTATATAAATTATACTTAATTTATTGTAAATTGTGAAAACATAACATTTGTTTCTAGAATGCAGTTAACAAAGTATCATGGCACATTCACACATTACCCAAGACAGAAGGCCTGGTTCCTATATTTATCAATGCAAATACTGGCCAGTTTCGTAGCTATTCAACAATAACAGTTGGAGCACGTGGAGATAGTTACTATGAATATTTATTAAAGCAATGGCTCCAAACTGGAAAAACTATTCAATTGTACGTAAATAGTACACATTCTTTTAAAATAACCAGAATTATCAAATATTTACTGAGTAAAACTTTAATATTAAATTTTGATATTTAAATGTTCAAAACTTGAGATTATTTATTGTAACATTGTGATTTCAATGATTTTTTTCAAAGTTCTAATTGTATCTTTTCCATTATAATAGCTTAATTGACGATTACTTAGACGGCATAGCAGGAATTCAAAAGTTACTAGTTAGATACACTCCACAAAATAAGTACTTATACATTGGAGAGCTACTCTCTGGAGGAAAAGACTTTAAACCAAAAATGGATCACTTAACATGTTATTTACCTGGAACATTAGCGTTAGGTGTGAAAAATGGAATGCCATCAACTCATATGAAACTAGCAGAGCAATTATTAGAAACATGCTACCAAACTTATGCCCAACAGAAAACTTTTCTGGCTCCTGAAATTACATATTTTAATATTCAGGTATTAATAATCACATTGTGAGCTCTTATTTTAATGTTGTCACATATTTTAATTAAAAATTATTACATATAAAGGATGAAGGTACTGATGATATGTACGTAAAAACTAATGATGCCCATAATCTTTTGAGACCTGAATTTATAGAAAGCCTATGGTACTTTTACCAAATAACGGGTAACACAACATACCAAGATTGGGGTTGGCAAATATTCCAAGTAAGTTTGAAATAAATATTTATTAAATGTGCCCCGAGTTCTAACACCTTTCAAATTATAATTTTATATCTTTCTAGGCATTTGAGAAGCATACAAAAGTAACAAATGGTTACACATCTATAGGCAATGTGAAGCAGCCTCTTAACATACGTCCAAGCGATATGATGGAATCATTTTTTTTAAGTGAAACTCTAAAATATTTCTACTTGCTTTTCAGTGATAATCCAAAACTGTTGGACCTCGATAAATATGTCATTAATTCTGAGGCACATCCCTTACCTCTTGAGTATTAGCTAATACATTGAAAATAACCGAAAATTCTTAATTTTTATAAAAAATGGCAACCGTTATTACAAAATTAAGACTGATTTTAGTTTTGTTATAATAAGTATGTTATGGAATAGTAAAAATAGTAGAAGCAAAAAATCTCACGCTCACATCCTGATTTGTATGATTTAATTAGCACTTAAATTATATTGTTAATCCTTCATATCACATTCATTCTGTAATTCCTTAAATAAAAGTTGTTATGTGAAGATAAAAATATACAAGTATGTGGAAAGCTTTAGGACTTTATTTTCTGATGTATAAAAAGAAATTTCTATGAATCGGAGATAATCTTTAGAAAGGAATTTTAAAAATGTATCATATTGGGCTATATGTAAACTGAATAATGTATTTGTTAAACATCTAAAACAAATAATTCAAAGAAATAATAATATACTCACTCATGCAGAAATACAGACATTCTTATAGATTTTGACATTACATTTATTGAAGAAAATTTGCAATCATTGGATTAGATTTATATCGATTCATGTAGATTTGCATTTATTCACGTAAAAATACACTCATTGTAGTGAATTCACACTCATTTAAAAATTTACAATTAGTATATTCACACTTACACCGAATATAGTACTTCTAATCATTATAATACCTTCACGTAGATTTACACTTATTGGAGTAGATTAGATTGATACTCACTCCCATATTTGTACTAATTCTCATAGAATTACACTATGGGTAAGCGCCATACAAAAATTTGTTTAGGAGTCTCCTTGAGAAGAATAAGTTTAAAAACCACTGAGATGAGTAATACTCACTAAAAGCTTCTGATAGAGAATACTCTTTCGTCAACTAAATTGGAGTGTTGATATATAATTCATAAAACCATTAAAAAAACTGAAAAGTTAAAACTAACCTGAAAAATGTGTTCAGATCAAAAAATGACAAACTCTGACAGAAATTAAAACTGTTTACTTAAACACACCTATACACTTCTTAATGTTTAATAAAGATAGTTTTAAATCAAATTAAAACTAGTTGAACATTGAATAAAAAGTTTACAACAAATAGTTAATTCTAATTGTTGATATATCTTTGATATATGAGAGAAACACTACTGCACTTTTGATTCTCATTCTTACGTGTTCTACTTTAAACGAATTTCGATAGACTGATTTTATTTTTGAATAAAATTTCAAATAATGACAGCGGCGGCCATTTTTCTTTTACAAAATAATTTTGAAAATGCTAATATATTATATTTGTACCTTACATTATAAGAAAAGTGTTCACAACATTTTTCATCCACACTTTAGAAAAAATAATTTATTTTTCACTTACACATTTATTCACTTCGACTAAATTGTAATTCTTTAACGAAAGAAAATTGTTGAAGAAACTGTTGGCTAACTTAACGCCTATCAAAACTGACATTTGTTGTGTACAACGGTTTGACGTTTGACGGTTGCTATGCACGCAATTTTGAGGTTCGGACGTTTTAAATCATAAACAATATATAATTTTAAACGAATTTTAATGGATTAATATAAATAAATAATTGTTGTATGGATTTTTAAATATATATTTTTGAATACTATTTTATTTTTATATATAAATATATTAAATTCTGGTCATTGCAACATGCAGGTAAGATATTTTTTCTTATTATTGTGCAATAATTATAAACATTAAATTTTACTTTATTTTTTAAAGGAACCAGAGAAAGAACATTATTCCTTTAAAGTAGAATGGATTGATTCCGAAACGGGCTTTAAACGCCATTTTGTTCTTAATTTTTTCCCCGCTGATAACACTTTAGAATTGGTAAGAAATAACAAATATGATATACTGAATATTTTGTCTCTCAACAAATATCAGCATTAATATCATGCTGATAATGTTCAATGTAAAATTGTGTTTCAGTTTGATATAGATGTCAATAGAATCTTTTTGAAAAGAAGTCTTGTCAAAGATATAACAGCTTCCGACTTCTACTTAAACAATAAAATTACAGTTTTTGGAAGATTGATGGTGATTGTTGACTATGCTGATTTACATACAAAAAACAAATTATGCAAAAAATCTCAGAGGTATAATATATGAATATTCTATATATTGGTGAAACTGGTCTAAGTACATATCTGCAACTATTTGTGATTTAAATCCTGGTGAAATATATTTTATTTAATAATAACTTTGGGTTCTAATCTTTATTTTAGAACAATAGCAGTAATCAAACCTTTTGGAATGCAATATATTGGTGGCATCTTGAGACATTTGCATCAACGTGGATTTACAATATTGAAATGTAGAATGATAAAATTAAGAAAGGAGCAAGCAGAAGCTATTTATATTAAGGACCTCGAAGAATCACATTATCCGTAATAGTCTATTTGATATATGTAATTTGTATTTATTGAAACTTATATTATAAAATTCAGTTTCACACTACTATCTATCTATATAGTTTGGAAAAAAATTGAAGAAAAACTGGTACTTCAACTAGTTTCTATTTTCAGTTTGCTTATTGAGAATTTAATACTTGGACCAGCGTTAGCTATTTTACTAATGGCTGAAGATGCAATTTGTGCTTTGATGGAACTCATGGGACCCACAGACCCTAAAGAAGCTTGTAAAATTGCTCCCACAAGTCTCAGAGCTATTTATGGTGAAACCATTCTGAAAAATGCAATTCATGGAAGTTCTGATGAAGCTGAGTTGGAAATGGTAATACTTTAAATTTTGTCGCCAAAGCTTTAATCATTAATACTAACTAAGAAATTTATTGCAGAATATGAAAATGTTCTTTCCAGAAAAATATACCCCTGATTTGAAGTCATGTTTTCTATTGAAAAACTCAACGCTTTGTATAATTAAACCTCATGCCATAAAAGAAGGTTTACATGGTGACATTATACATGCTATTATGGAATGTAAATTTAATATAACGGGTATGGAAATGTTCAGTTTGGATTTAGCAAACGCTGCAGAGTTTTTGGAAGTATATAAAGGAGTGGTTCCAGATTTTTCAGTAAGCATTGAATAAAGATTTAATACAATAAATTTCATGAAATTACTATTTTCTAAGAAAAACTTATCAAATTAATGTTCATGTTTAATATTATTGATGTTTAAAAAAGTATTTTCGTTTTTATAGAAAATGGTCACACAATTATCATCTGGTCCTTGTATAGCAATGGAAATTACAACTTCGGACTTTAATGAAGAAACACCGCAACAATTTAGGACTTTTGTAGGTCCTGCAGATCCCGTAAGTACTTCATAATGGCAAATCAAATAAAATCTTATTAGCTTATTAAATCTTATTAATTTTTTATTTTTCTTTAGGATCTTGCTAGACAGCTTAGACCAAATACATTGCGTGCCAGATTTGGCAGAACAAAAGTGGAAAATGCAATTCATTGCACAGATCTTCCGGAAGATGGTCTTTTAGAAGTAGAGTACTTCTTCAAAATTTTACAATTTTGAGGAGTATGTAATAAATTAATCAATTATAAGCAATAGAATGTCAAAAATATTTTATAGTTAATGCATGTTAAGTTTTAAATTACATATACCGAATTATATAACAAGAATAAAGTGTTTTGCCATGTTTAAACACTATTACTAAATGTTATTTTTCAATGTGCTTAATAACACAATTAAAAATGTATCCGCATAAAGGTATTTCATAATGATATGATTTATATAAATTTTCTAAGTGGGGTAAATAAAGAATAGGAGTAACAAAAATCTAATCAGTCAATAATGCAGTAAAAAAGAGAAAAGTGATTTCTCCTGAATAAAATGGAAAATTGGTCGTTCCATAATTTTTTCTTAAATAGTTCTTATGATTTTTTAAATTCAATTCTGGAACTTAAGCAATTAATTTTATAAGTTCATATACTATTTGATATGTTGCATTATGTAAAGAAAAAAATATTTACAAAAATATGCAACCAATATTTAATATAAAAAATTAGTTACATTGTATAAAAATATTTATAAAAAAATGATAAAACGCTATTGAAAGTGAAACATTTTCACAGTTAATATAAAAGTCTTGTTAAAATAAACATGATCAGAGGAAATAATCCGGGAAATTAACGGCGATGACTTGGCGACGAATGCAGCAAACGTGTGAGGGACAATCAAAATTGCAGTACTAACAATAAATACAGTATCTGTTTTGACAATTGTTTTACATACTGAGGTCTTTCTCGATGACAAAAGACTTGAAATGTTGGTGACATCTCCTCTAATCACCACCATCTTCTTCATCTTCGAATTCAGCCTCTTCCTCAGCAGTAGCTTCTTGGTATTGTTGATATTCTGATACCAAATCATTCATGTTACTTTCTGCTTCAGTAAACTCCATTTCATCCATTCCTTCACCAGTGTACCAGTGCAAGAAAGCTTTTCGTCTAAACATAGCAGTAAACTGTTCTGAAACACGTTTGAACAACTCCTGGATGGCAGTTGAATTTCCAATAAATGTCGCTGACATCTTCAGACCCCTGGGATAATAAAAATTTTAAGAAACCATTACAAGGTTGCTATAAAAATTATCAGGGGCAAAATTAAATTCACTTAATATATAATACCTAGGTGGAATATCGCAAACAGCGGTTTTCACGTTGTTCGGTATCCACTCAACGAAATAACTCGAATTTTTATTCTGGATATTAAGCATTTGTTCATCTACTTCTTTCATTGACATGCGACCACGAAATACTGCAGCCACAGTAAGGTATCTGTAGATTGTAATTGATTAAAATCATTACTCAACTCATAAAGCAAATTTATCTTTGTATGAATTGAAGATGTTTATATAAAAATACTGAACTGATTTTAAGTACAACTAATGGGGTGGGTGGCATCGTGCCTTAGGGCAAATTGCTGGAACTTCCCGTACCGTAACGAAATGTTCGAGGATTACTGAATGTTTTCAAATAGATTATTATAAATATTGTAACATTGTCTAATATTTATAAATATTATATAAACTAAATTGCAGAGTTGAAATTATTTGTAAAGTATATTAGAACTATAGTCAGAATTAAAAATAAATATTTTCGATATTCCAAAAACTAAAAAAAAAAAAAAAATGGGACAATTTTTTTTTCCAAAATCGATTATTTTGTTAAGACAAGCAGAAAGTTCTTTGAATCATTTAAATCGGACGCTTAGTTCTCTCAAAAACTGCCATTTTTTACATATTTAGCTCCGTATCTTCAAAATGGCTGGGCCTGCCTTTGCCAAAAACTAATAAACACTTCTCCCAATCATTACTAATTGAATGTTTTTTAGATCATTCAAATCGGATACTCCGTTCTCTCAAAAATACGATTTCTATTTTCTGCACTCTTTGCTCCGTATCTCCAAAACGGCTGGACCTGCCTTTGCCAAAAACTAATCAGCTCTTTTCCCTATCAATAGGAATCGGATGTTTTTTGAACCATTCAAATCGGCTGATCCGTGCGCCCTAAAACGTGACTGGAAATTTGTATCCACACATACATGCACACACACACACACACACACACACATCCATTTTTTCTGAGGTATGCCAAAACGTTCAGAAACCTTCAAAACGTCGAGAAATGTAAAAATTTTCAATTCCGATTTTCGGCCCATTACAATAACTTACCCTACGGGAAGTTAAAAACTATTCAAAAGATATTAGTTGGAAAATATGCCGATTAGTTTTTGATGAAGGTAGTCTGTTTCATCGCAATTGTTCAGTTTTTTTAAAACAATTAATGATTTTTTTCATTTAATGATATTGAAAAGATAATGATCTTAAACAACAAAGTAAAATACTATAGTCCAACGACATGTCGGGTAATTTTAGAAAATAATCAATGTTTTAAAAAAAGAGAAGCGTTTGTGATGTGAAATGTTGGCGTTTCCTTAGAAACAATTTAAAGTCATTCGATTAAAATAGTATTCGCATTGGTCAGTTTTGACTGACCATCTGAACAGATTTTAGAAATTCAAAATGAGTTAGAAAGATCATTTGAAAATCGTGCTGTTTAGTTTTTGGCAAAGATCGATTGGACCGCTTTTTTGTAATGAAGATTAATTTCTTTTTACATTTCCAACGGAACTTTGGCGATAAAGTTCAGGAACTGAACTCCATGTACGTCCTAATACGCGGCTCATTATTCCAAAATTTCATGAACTTTAGAACTAGGAGCTTAAATTAGGTAAGAATCTCGGAATTCGAGATACCCAGCTGTAAATCTATAAATGCTTGTATTTTGCACCCTAAAAGTTGTCTCAAAACCTACATATGGTAAGGTGGACGCAACATATGTAAGTTTTCAGACAAACTTTTAGAGTACAAAATACAAGTATTTATAGACTTGGGTATCTCGAATTCCGAGATGAACTTACGATAATGACTATCCTAAAATATTATAGACATACGAAAATGGTAGTACTTTTAAATTTTAGGATGCCACTTGCATCTAGTTAATGTTTAAAGTAAAACAAAAGTACAAATGATATAACTATCGACTTCACTCTCACCTTCCGTGTCGTGGATCACAAGCTGCCATCATATTCTTGGCATCGAACATCTGCTGTGTTAATTCTGGTACAGTGAGAGCTCTGTACTGTTGGGATCCACGAGAGGTTAAAGGAGCGAATCCAGGCATGAAGAAATGGAGGCGCGGAAAAGGTACCATATTTACCGCCAATTTTCTGTAAAATAAATAATATAGTAATATAATAAGTATAATAATAGTAGTTCAGGTATAAACTTAGGTTCCTGGTCAGAGAGAAAGTGTCAGCATCATACATTTTCCATCAAAAATTGTCAAGAAGCAATATTTTATCATCATAATTTTAAAGATATACTAAATCAAAATTCTGATTGTTAAAACCGATTATTTACACACGTCGGAAAAATCATGCAACTTACTTTAAGGTACCAGTTATACCTAGTTTTTATTATTTTACCTTAAATCAGCATTCAGTTGACCCGGAAATCTTAGACAAGTCGTAACTCCGCTCATTGTGGCGGACACCAAATGATTCAAATCTCCGTAGGTGGGAGTCGTCAGCTTCAAAGTTCTAAAGCAAATATCATATAGGGCTTCATTATCAATGCAATATGTTTCATCTGTATTCTCAACGAGCTGGTGAACTGATAGAGTGGCATTGTAAGGCTCCACCACGGTATCTGAAACCTACAATAAAAAACAAACAAACATGTAAATATATATTAATAATATTAGTACTGTGTCAAGCATTGTAAGAGATAGTTGGTGATTTTTGTTTCTCAAAAATTAAATGGGATTTAAATAAAATATTAAATAATGTTTTGAAAATACACTGAATATTAGGCATACCATGGTCTCGAAACGTCTGGTCTGAGTGTTATATTGTTCATATTTAACATTTAATATTCGTTTCACTTAAATTCTATTTATATATTTATATATACATATATATATATATATATATACATATACTAGCAAACCCGACGAACTCCGTTTCGCCACCAGATGGTTTCGTGAGAAAGATGAAGAAATTTTTTGTTTGTTTTATATTTGTAAAGGAAAAATTTGATTTTATCACACAACAGCAATGAATTTATTTCGATTACAAAAATGAAGTGTTTGTTAGTTGAACTTCTCTAAGTAAATGAAAGTGAATCAGCAAATTATTCGTTTCATTGAAGTGCTCTTTGGTAAACCACATTTTTGTTTTGTGGTCTGACGTTAACATAAACAAAGCGGATGGATTCGCAACTCGTGAACAGGCAACGTATAATTGCCCATGTGAAAAATAATGATTTTCAGAATAATCTATTTGAAATTTATCCCGCAAACACTATGCGATTGGCCTTGCGGCTTGTTAATTGTTATTGCGAACGCAAGGCAAACTGGAAATTGCAATCGTTTAAAGTCAAACGGAAGACCAGTCGGAATCATTGGTATGTCACCAAATTACCAGCAATTTTTGATTGAATGGTGAAATTCAGTGCGCGTACATCATTATTGTTTGCTGCAAGAATTGCTCGTTGACGTAACCAAGCATAATTCTGATAATTCTCACTAATATCATTACTCGAATTTTTAATTACGGTGCGTGAAGTTCCAGCAATTTGCATTAAGGCACGATGCCATGCACCACTAATTTTCTTAACTATAAACCTTGCGGGGCCCGAGACCTTTCCAGCGAATGCAAAATTGACGAACTCGGTTCGTGCCTTTTGGAGTTATATCGTCAGGAAGGAAAACCCGACTTATTTTTATATATATGTAGATTTAAAAACTAAAAAAATATATATTATGAATTTTACCTTTGGACTGGGCACAACACTAAAGGTATTCATGATTCTATCAGGATATTCCTCACGAATTTTTGAAATTAATAAAGTTCCTGAAATATTTAAACTTGTATTATAAGTTATTATATAATTAAATAATTATATCGACATTTCAAGAAAATAATATGGTTTAAAATTTGATTTAATATTTTAGTTTTAATTGAAAATTCGAATTTTTAAGAGAACTCACCCAGTCCCGAACCAGTTCCTCCGCCAAGGGAGTGGGTGAGTTGGAACCCTTGTAGACAGTCACAGCCTTCTGCCTCTTTTCGAACCACATCTAACACAGAGTCAACCAGCTCCGCACCTTCGGTGTAATGGCCCTGTGGACAAAAATATTTTTTATAAAGGATTTTTTATTAGAAATGTACTATTTTAATTAAGAACGTTGGCAGAATTCACTATGTTATGATGTTTTTTTTTAAAAATAAATAGTAAGTTTCTTATTGATCGGACCCGTTCTGCACGACGTATTCAGATGTAAAACAGAAAAACTGAAAGGAATCGGAAGAAGAAGAATGCAAATGATTGACGACCAGAAAAGAGAAAATACAGGGAACTGAAAGTCAAAGCGCAGGATCAAGAAGAACAGAAGCAAAAATTCGGAAAGGAATACATATGAAAAAAAAAGGTAAAAAATGGGGGGGAGGGGAAATAGTGGTAATTAGAATGATAGCCAACAAGGGTAAGGGAATCATTTATTTGTGGTGGCTCTCGCACCATGTACCTGCCTTCGGGCAGACTACGATTTATTATTAATATTATGTTTCTTACTAACCTTTGCCCAATTATTACCAGCTCCTGATTGACCAAATACGAAATTGTCGGGACGAAAAATCTGGCCAAATGGCCCAGAACGAACGGAATCCATGGTACCAGGTTCCAGATCCACCAACACAGCCCTAGGCACGTACTTTCCTCCAGTGGCTTCGTTATAGTAAACATTTATCCTAAAATAATAATAAAAAACTAGTTAAATTAAGTTTTATCAATAGAAAAGATGTTAAATCAATTACATTCACCGCTAATAAAAATTTATATTTATTTTAAGTTATATTTAATTAAACCATTACATATATCATTAGTATGTTTGAAAAATATCAATTGAAAATCTCATTGATTATGTTTTAGTAAAAGCAAAATCTTTGATTTTGAAATAACAGTAATTTTTTGAAGTAAAACTTCTTTAGGCACGACTAGGGTATAAATCCGTACAAATGCAACGGAACAGCCGAACTGTACGTCATTCGCTCTCGATGAAATCATTTCAATACAGGTCGATTGTGATTAGTCGTCGTGTTTGTGAATAGAGATCTGTCGTTGTATGCGTACCAGCATCAACGTTGTATGCTTACCGATATCAACAAGGAAATCGGCATAGATAAATAAATATTTTAAAGTTACATCGTAGTACAAATGCCTGAATCAGAAGAATCTTTTACCCTGTACCTTGAAAATAATAAAACAAATTACACATTTATGCCTTGTACTAAATGTGATTTTATTGATTAGAATATTATTTCTATATAATTCGTAGTTTCTATAAATCTTTGAAGTTATTAAATGGAGAATATTTTTTAGGCAGGAAAGATATTACAACTGTTTAAAGAATGAGATTACATAGCCAGCGAAAAAGTGAAAAAAATACAAGCAGTCAATAAATCTATGTTAATTTTAATTACATATTAAGTTCTTCAAGCACAATTATTACATGATGGGTGAAGTGGCGAAAACAATATTTGTTTAGGCGTTGTTTAACATAATCCACTGTGTGAACGAATATTATAGAATTTATTAATCAGCAATTACTTCATTTCTCTAATGAAGGTTTATTTCTAAATGCTAATTACAATGACAAACCGATCATGTCATATTTGAAGTATGACTTTAATTACATCATTGTTTTTAAATATTATACATATTTTTAATGCTATTAAAAATATATAATTTATAATTTATCATCATATGAATGTGTATAGTGGTTGCAACTAATAAATGTGTACATCACGAGTGTTACCATATTACTAATAAACATTATTCAAAATTGTTGTATGATGTATTTATTTTTACTTAAATGCCATCTTGTACAGCAGCAAAGTTTTACTTCAATCGCGTGTGAACCTTACGTGCACACTTTTTTATCTAAATAGCTAAATCTCAATTCTTATTAATTTTGTCGATTACTTACACCTAATAACTAATTATTTCACTGTAAATTTTAAAATATTTAGATGAAAATACTTGCCGCTCTAACTGCAAGTCGCTATCGCCGTGGTAAGCTCCAGTGGGGTCAATTCCATGTTCATCACTGATGACTTCCCAAAATTTAGCCCCAATTTGATTGCCGCATTGGCCTGCTTGAATATGTACGATTTCACGCATGTTGTAAAAGTTATATCAAAAATAGACTTGAAAATAACTGAAAATATTAAATCATAATATTATTGTATATAATATACATTATATTTAATTTTAACCCTTTCCACTCTGCTGTCCACCTGAAGGGACAACATAATTATTTCACTCGACACTGGAATCAACGCACCATGACTTTTGAAAAATGCTTTAAACTTTAACATGCTGCAGAAAATAAATTTAAATATTATTGTGAATGTATGCTTATCAAATAAAACAAATTGCATAACATACATAATAATATCAAGTTTACAGCAGATACGTTTTCGTCAGAATGTGGCGCCGAGTTGCTGATAGACAACGAACGGATAGGTAACGAGCGCAAAGGGTTATATATAAGTTTATTATACGCTTTATTTCAAATTTTTTCACAAATGTAAATATAATGCACTTAGATTGTATTATTTACTTACTCTGTTAATGTCCAAAGAATTATCCTTGATTCCCTCTCCTAGTTTACCAAAAAGTGTAAAAATACTAAAAAAATATGTATTATGAATTTTAATTTATGTATTGAAACGCAAAACACATCCCCACCCAATTTAGTCGATTTTATATTTGAAATTTTGCTTTCATTTCTAATTTTAAAAATAAAATTCGTATTTTACGTTCCAAACATTTAAAATTTTGATAACCCGTTTTATTTAATTTTGTTTCATAATATAAAAAATTTCAACGCCGACTCATCTCGCAAATTTTACGCAATTTTGTTTCGATTTTTCGAGTTGTCAAGGCTTCCTATCACTAAGGAAGATTTTAGTAAGAGAATTCATAATTTAGTCAAATCTTTGAGAACATTTTAATAAATTTAAATGGCAAAAACAGCTCAAATAAATTGCATTAATGTGAAAAAATCTTAATTTTGAAGCATATTGAGTGAAACGTAACATATAAATTTTCAAAAACCGAAATAAAATTAAAATTCAATAAAAACTAAAAATTATATAGCTCCATCTTTGTTAAATAAACCATTATAATGACTGGCTCTCAATTAAAATTTAACCAATAAAGCCTGAATTAGCTTTCAAGAAATATCAAGGATTATTGAAATCAATAGAGAAATCACAGATATCTTTTAGGAAATGCCCAACAGTATGGTGAGAAATGCGACAAGAAAGTTAAAAACTACTGTTTTCGATCAAACTTGTTCACTGGAAGGGCCACCATAAAACACAGGTGATCTCATCGTATTATTGAACTGATTCCAAAATGCTAAACATGCTGTATTATCAGAGTAAATACATCATTGTCAAAGAAATCAACATTTTCATTTAGTATAATTTCCAATCACAACAATTAACAAATTGGAAGTGATGAGAAGTCATATGGTAAAACTTAAATACATCACATACAATTTTGACTCAATATTCAACAAAATTGTAATACTCTTATGACAATACATATTTCAATGACTGAAATAAAACTTCACTTGACCAGTGAAAAAATAAAGAAGTTAGTAAAGTCACTTCAAATCAGTAATTGCAAAACTAAAAATAAGATCAAACTCATCTCATCTTTCTTCGGTCCTCACAAAAATCTAAATTGTTTTATTAGTTACAAACCAAACATAAAATATAAGTAGTAGTTCAAAAACTACTAAATTGTAAAACAATTTCCTATTTTCTAAATTAAGAAAAAATGTAAGTAAGCAAATTTTTGATTTATTAATAAGATTTTTAGATCATGTGTGTGCATTACAACTATTTGCTGTGTTCTGACCACTACTTACTTATATTTTATGTTTGATTTTTAACTGATCAATTAATTTAGATCCTTGTAAGAAGAATTGAAGAAAGATGATATAAGTTTGATCTTAGTTTCTTCTTTATTTTTTCACTGGTCACTTGAAATTTTACAGTTTAATTTAAAATTGTTTTATAATTGTACCAGTGGTACATTCAATATATAATTATAAGAAATAAAAAAATACTTACAATATATCCAAGATTTTTATTAAATTATTTTATCATTAAAATATTTTATCATTATACAGGTTTTCTATACTTTGCTTGCAACCAAACTCTGTACATTGTTAATTGTCTACCACGATTTACTTGGAGTCTTCGGTCAACAATATTTTGCTCTTCAATTAAACCTGCTGTAGTAAATAAGGTCCTTATTTCATCTGAAACAAACATTCGAGAAACATTAAAATATTTCTGATTTATCTATAGACATTTCAGCAATATTGAAGAATTAGAATATACCACAAAAGTGTAATAAAATTTTTAAAGTAGTTCTTCTCTATTTGATACTTTCATCATTTCTAGTTAACTATAGTTATAGCAAAAAATAGACTATAGACATAGTAATAATATTTTTTTAAATTACCTTGTGTGAAAAAATATACCCTTGTTCCATCTCCTCTAACATAGAAATTTTCCTGTAAACACTGACCATGTTTAAATCTTAGTTGTGCTAAATCATATCGCCCATAATCTCTGAATACAATAATTCCACCTGGTTTTAAATAATGATATATCTGATTTGCAACATGTTGCATTCTGAAAAGAAATTTATGGTAAATGTTAAATGTGCTCAAAATTAACATATTCATAGATTGAAATATAATAATCTTAAAATAAATTATATATAATGAGAATAATAATATGTGTTATACAAATTATAAACTTACTTTTCAGGATTTATTGCCGATAATACAAATATCAATATAATTATATCCAAACTGTTCTTTTCAAAAGGTACATCCCAATTTTTCTCTGTTGCATCTAGAACAAATACTTGAGCTCTTTTAGCATCAAATTGTTCATGTTCTTTCAAAATATCAATAGCCTTTGCAGAAAAATCACTCCCATACAATTTTAATTTAGGATTTATATTATATTGCAAAATTGGTAATATAGCATTGCCTACACCACAACCAATTTCAAATATTGAACATGATTCAAATTGTTCACTTGCACTTGTCAAGTCATCTGGTTGCTTATCGTGTACACTTTTAGGAACATCTTTATAATGAGGTGCTAATTCTGGAAATTCGGTAAATAACCAATGTCTGTCTTTGAAAAATCTGTAAGAAAATTTATTTATCTTTATAAAAGTTTATTAAAACCTTTATTATATGAATTTGAATCAACAAAAATAATATCTAGCAAACAAAAATATTAATTATTTCTTATAGCATCATATTTTGATCATGCGCATTGTTTTCAATATAATATTATAATTGTAACACTAAATTATCTACTAAAAAATATTAAATAAATACTAAATAAATATTCTACTAAAAATATTAATTAAAGCAAGTACTTGTTTTGATGAATTCCATAAAAAGTATCCCAATATTTATTTGCATTTTCTTCGTAGTCATTAAGTTTTGCAGCATCTAAGACAACCTCTGAGATTTTCTCCACTTTTTTACGTGCTTCCTCTTCTTGTTCAGGGCTCCACTCAACATTATCCCTAATAAGAATAAAATTTACATCAATTGTACTGTTTTAATATTGAATAAAATATAAAAAGAACTAAGCTTAGCAAAACCAATATAAATTAAATAAATCATGTGAATTTGATAAGTAATTGATCATTTGCAACCTGATCATTTGCTGAATCACTTTTAGATGACATAGTTAAGTGCACAAGTAAATAAAAGAATATAAAGTAATTTTAACACTGGTAATGTAAATTATATGATCAAGAAACATTATATAAACTTTACACAGAATATAAAATCTTGTAAAAGCTATTTTACAACTACGATGAGCTATAAAACCTAAGATTTTAATAAATGTCTGAACAAATGTAGTATGAAAACAACAATCATACTATAATCATAATATACTCTTCTTTTATCTTTGACAACAATATTAGTATAATTATTTTAAATTTTCATTAATATCTGTTTAGGATGTAGTGTTTAAATCCTACGTTCTAGTTTGCATATTGTTCAACAAAAATCAGCTCTACATAAATAATAAATAATTAAATAATATTAATAACAATCTTTGATAATCACCACGAATTGAAACTATAAATCTGAGAGGTGTCTCTCAAAAACCGTGTTCCATTTTTCGGTTTTTTTCTAAAACGTGTGTGTTCATAATCGCAATATTTTCTTAATCCATTAATTTGAATCAAAACATATGTGCAAGGTTTTAATACAATTTTCCTACCAAGCGTTATGACTGAATACATCATCGTCTTTGCCTAAATATCTATTGCCAAATTGTGCTCGTTTATCACTTTCCATTATCAACTTTCTGAATGCATTTAAAAATATACTATTTATTTTTTACATTTCGATAAAATAAAATAAAATACTAGACCATTTTTGGTGCTACACAATATATTAAAATACTTATAAAACTATGCAATAAATTGCAAAGAGGTTAATAGTTTTGACAGCCCAGCACGTGTTATTAAATGAAGAACTAGAGACATCTATCGACAGCCAACAATGTCATTTTGTTGTTTTTTTATTTAATATAATTTAAAATATCATTAATTTACTTATATAAATCCTTTAAATATATAAAAGATAAAAAATAGTTTATTGCGCAAAATATTTACAATAATTTGTTTTTTATATACAATGACTTTTTAAAGAATCGCAAGAGCAAAATTTTGCTGAATGACACAAGTTCAAACTTGTTGACCAGCTATCCTGGTCTTGTTGACCAGGAGATCTAAAATTTAATTAAAATTAATGTAATTATTACTAAAATAAAAAATAAATACTAGTTGTAGTATTATCTAATATTAGGTATGGTAAGTACGCTAAAAAAATGTAACATACTTATAATTTTAAATTATATTCTATATTCATGAAGTCAAAACATAGAATTAATTACTATATATATATATATATATATATATATATATATATATATATATATATTTATATATATACTTTTTTTGAGATAGAGAAAGTTCTTGTAGGACGATACATAAAAAAACAAAAACAAAATTATAAATTAATCTTTAATTCCAACAGAATGGAACACCAATCACCCAATAAGAACTTTCTCATATATCTCAACACCAAAAATAACTACAAAATCATAATATATATATATATATATATATATATATATATATATACGAGGTCTGTTCAAAAAGTACCCGGAATTTTCGTTTTTTCAAAAAAATATTTATTTATTCGTCTACATTAATGTGGTCCCCTTCAAAGTAGTCCCCCCCAGATATAATACACTTATGCCAGCGTTTTTTCCAATTTTCGAAGCACCCTTGATATTCACTTTTTGATATGTCCTTGAGCACTCTCAGCGATTCGGCCTTTATTTCTTCAATCGAGGAAAACCGCCGTCCTTTCATGGGTCTCTTCAACTTTGGGAATAGGAAAAAGTCACACGGAGCCATATCTGGTGAATATGGAGGTTGGGGCATGACTACGGTATTGTTTTTGGCCAAAAAATTACGAACAAGCAACGACGAGTGAGCAGGTGCGTTATCGTGGTGCAACAGCCATGAATTGTTTTTCCATAAATCGGAGCGTTTTTTTCGGATTGCTTCACGCAAACGTCGCATCACTTCAAGGTAATACTCCTTATTAACCGTACGACCTTGTGGTAAGAACTCTTGATGCACTATGCCGTTATAATCAAAGAAAACAGTAAGCAAAACCTTGACATTCGATCGAACTTGACGTGCTTTTTTCGGTCTTGGCTCACCTGGGCTCTTCCATTGGGACGATTGGGCTTTGGTTTCGACATCATAACCGTACACCCATGTTTCATCACCAGTTATGACCCTTTCAAGCAAACTTGGATCGTTGTTGACGTCATTTAACAGCTCTTGAGCGATGTTCATGCGATTGCTTTTTTGGTCAAAATTTAGCAGTTTTGGAATGAATTTTGCTGCCACTCGTTTCATGCCCAAAACATTTGAAAAAATGTTATGACATGAGCCAATTGATATGCCAACTTCATCAGCAACTTCTCTAATTGTGATTCGGCGATCATTCATAACCATTTTTTCCACTTCTTTCACATTTTCATCGTTTGTTGACGTGCTGCGTGCTGGGTCGACCGGAGCGTTCGTCATCTTCAACGTCTTCGCGGCCATCTTGGAAACGCTTATACCACTCGTAAACACTTGTTTTTTTCATAGCAGACTCACCATAGGCTTTTTGTAACATTTCACACACTTTGTTACACTTTATTTCATTTTTTACGCAAAATTTAATACAAATTCTTTGACTTTTCAATTCTTCCATTGTAAAAATCGCCGAGCTCAGAAAAACACGTCGAATCTTAGTTATATTGTCTAGGTTAGCGACTACCACAGCATTTATTATTTTGTCTAGGTACCACAGACAAAGTAAACAGTGAATATAGCTGAAAATTTCATCATACTTTAGGGGCATGCATACCAACACAATAAAAAAAAAATTTTGACAATCAGACACTCCAGACCCGCGAAATTTAAATTATATATATCTTGATATAAATTTCAGCCAGTCGTCAAAATAAAAGAAACAAATACAAAATATTTATTTAAAATATACGTTTCGACACCGATTGTGTGTCACCATTCAGCAATTCTTTGTTAACAGTATCTAAAAAAAATTTTTATAAAGATTTTTTTAAAAAGAAATAAGCTTAATTTTATATTTAAAATAATTAAAAATAAAATTGAGTTAATTCTTTTTTTAATATTTGTAAAAAAAATTTTTTAGATACCGTTAACATATTTTAAATAAATATTTTGTATTGATTTGTTTCTTTTATTTCGACGACTGGCTGAAAATCATATCAAGACATGTCTCAACGTCGAACAAAAAATTTATATTTTATTTATATTTATATTTATATATATATATATATATATATATATATATATATATATATATGTATATATATATATATATATATATATATTAGCTCATAAATAATAATGAATTTTCAAATAATAATGATAAAAAAATAATGTATAATCAGGCACAAAACTAGGTATTAGTTAGTCCTTTATACAATTTGAAAGTGCCTTGGTAAAACTATGAGTAAAACATTAAATATTTACTTAAAGTTCCTGTACAACTTTATAACTCATTATCATTGAGGTAGTTTTACTAAAAAGGCAGTTAATATACAAATATATCCATATTTACATTATTTGAAATATTACAATAAATATTATAGAGTATTATCACATTTTAATATATTAAAATTATTTAATTTCATATTTGTTTTGCAAAAACTTTCTTAAAAGTAACTAATTCAAATTTAAAGGAATAAAATAAGATAAAATACAAAAATAAATGTTATATTTTATAAATTATAGCTTCATCAATTTTTTTTTTTTTTTTGTATTTGTAAGTATGTTGCAATACAAATTTTTCTCATTTGTTTTCCTTATCTATGGATGACCCATTTAGTGCTAAAATAAATATATTTATTTCACATATTTTAACATTTTTGGTCTTCAATTCCAATCAATAGCCTGCTAATAATATATATATATATATATATATATATATATATATATATATATATATATATATATATGTATATATATATATATATATTATAACATATATATTATAATAATTTTATGATAATATGTTGTATAAATTTGCATTGCTAATCTTCCACAGCTGTACATCGAATGATAACCAAATATTTATGTGAAAAACTCCATTTATGCCAAATATATTCACAAATAATTTCAGTACTACTAAATATTTATTGACTACTTTCATAAAAAAATAAAGCATATGACAAATGAAGATTTTCATAAAATATTTGAGTTTTCAATTCATGTGTGATTCAGATTTTGCAGATTATCTATCTATAAATTATATTTGTATATAAAATTATTTCATAAAATTTCTCGTTTATATTCATATTGAATTTTTTTTTTCCAGAATGCTTCAGTTTTTTTAGTCATAAATCTTTTAATACGATTCAATAATTGTTGAGTAGGTAAAAAATTGGGTGACCACAACATTATGATGTCAGCTACAATCTCATACTCAAGCCTTGATAACTGGATCAGTGCCGAAATAGCTGTTTCTTGAAGTTCTGGATTTAGTTCTACACATACAAAACAATAAAACTTAGAAAGTAAAGAAAGATTCATATTAAAATTATTTCAATAAAAAAATAATTATTTCTCTTCAGAGTAAAATCTGTTTACACAATTATTATATATAATTAAACATGCAATATGTTGTTCTCAGTTTATAAGAATTGTTATAATATACTCTGCTTCTTTTTTTGTTAAAAAATATTTCTTATTGCAATATTTTATTATTGAATACTTCTAATTCATTACTTACCAAAATTTGATAAAATATTCTTGAGAAAAAATATGATTGTCATCAACTTATCCTTGTTAGCATTATCAATAGTCCTACAAACAGCTCCAATTACATTTATACATAATTTTATAGTCCTTTCTAGTTCATTTTTCATCACATCATCTTTACAATCTGCATATTTATCCCAGCATTTTTGTAGTAAAGGTAAAAAGCCCTGGTTGATCACTTTGTTGATTACCCAGGCAGTACTTTCTCTTCGAGCTAATAGTATAATCGATAAATATACTTCTGCACATGGATCATCTGAAAATTATTAAAAATCGTTTTCCTTAAAGAATCATCTTTCTGATAACATAGAAATAGTAACTTTGTACATATTATAAATTAATAAGCATGTGGTAATGTGCACAAAATGTGTATTCAGAGCTTGCTGATGAGAAATGTAAAAATATTCATAAAAATAAAATACATTTGAAAAATTTAAGACTGCATAGTATTGATTCATAATGCTTGTATATAATGATTTATATCTATCTTAGAGATAGTAAATACTGTATTTTCTTAACTAATAAAAACAATGAATACTCACGGATTGTTAATTTTATTATTTTTGCCAATAATCCATCCAAGTCCCGGCAATCTTCTGGTATTTTGTATCTGAATAAAATTTGCTGTCGAACATTCATATATTTAGGGCCTAAGTAAGTTGCCTCTCCATTAGACTTAAAATTCAGTAAAAGATATTTCATAGTAGTATGAAGAATATTTTCTATAAAAAAAATATTTGTGAATATTAAGCTCTTGTTATTACAAAGATTCATATTAAACATACTAATTTATAATTGAAACTACTAGCAATTTCTAAGAACACTATTTTCTCTAAAAGAAATAACGCTTATGTATTAAAATAAAAAAATGGTTCTTGAGCAAAAATATCAAGCACTTCTTATTATAAAGATTCAAATTAAGCAGGTTACTAAATTTGTAATTAAAACTATTGGCAATTTCTTAAAAAACCAAAGTCTACTTAACATTTTTAAAAATTAAAATGACTTACCTCTAATATTAGAATTGTAACATTGTAACAAATCAGGACAAGCTGTTAATATCTGTTCAAAAATATTCACACATTTAATGTGGAAACAATATAAACTATCTGCCAGAAATATGGACAATGCTTTTACATCTCCAGCTTCTAAACACAAGGAAATGAATATTTGAGAATACAACATAAAATATTTATCATCAGCTTTTTTCAACCTGAATAATTTGTATGATGTCGCAGACATATAATAATGCTTAAAACCTTCATAAATTTGATCAAGATGCCATATAAGTCTAATTAAATATTTTGCAGGTTGTGGATTTTTTTTAATTATCGTTCCCCAATCATCTTTCATGTTGTATAACAAACATTGAGAAAAAACTTGTTTTATGTCCAAATCTGTAATTTGTAATTCACTAATGGCTTTTGGTATACCTGCCGATACATCTGGGCTCTCTAGAAATTCTACAAGAATCATTTTAATTTGTTGTTCTTGTGTTTTGAAACTTGGGGTAAATGGTATAGCTGTTGGAAATTGCTTAATGAGCTTTTTATAGTTTTTATTAGGTAGAGCATATTCCTTAATGAGTTCTGATAAAACACTTATGCGATTGTTGAACTTTTCAACAGGTGTTTGTACTGAATTAATGCTTCTTACATGTTTTTCCATGACTGAATAGTCAAGACACGTTGATTGGAAATTATTTTGTTTTAATCTAGTATTATTGTAATTGATTATACTAGTTTTTGTTTGAACAGCATTATTGTCTGAAATATTTTCTTGTTTATAAGAAGAATTATTCAATGTAGGAGTATCAGAGTTAACCATTTCAGAATCAGAAGTTCCTTGAATTATTTGAATCTCTTCAGATTTTTCTAAAACCATTTTCAATTGCCTATTTTTTTCTGGTGTGTGAAAATCTTCATTTATACTTTGTTCAGTATAAAAATTTAATTTCATATTTTCTTCATTTGAATTTTTAATTTTTTCTGTGTCAACATTTTCATTGTGAATTGAGTTACCTTTGCTCAATATACTAGTATCGTTTTCTGAGAGACACACTGTATTTTCAATTTTATTAACAAAATTTTCTTTAGGTAAATTGTCATTTTTGCCATCAATTTCTTCAAAACAATCTGATTGTTCAGCTCGAGTTTTTGAACTTTCGTTTTCATCTAAAACTCCATTGATCTTGATATTATTGTTCTGGATCTTATTAGAGTCTTCTGTTTCTGTTTTTGTAACATTAGTAACACAATCTTTGGTTTCCTTTGATTCATAGTCGCTTTCATGGGATTTGATGTTTTTAGTTTCTGTGGAACCTTCAGGAACAAATTTTACATGAAAATCAGTTTTTGATTTGGTATTATCTTCCAAGTAATTTGGACAATTTTTCAAAGGATCCACATTTGATTTAGTTACATTACTTGAACTATCTATTTCTGCCAAATTTATGTTCAAATTTTCAAGTTTTCTGTCCTCTTGTGTATCATTCAAATTTGAACTTTTAATAGAAGTAATTGAAGTTTGATCACATTCGCCAGTTAAATTCTTACAAGTGTCTATCACAGACTTATTTAATTTATCATGTCGATTGCTTTTTCTCTCTTTTGCTCGATTGGTCTCGGTTTTCTCAGTATTCAAAACTTTTGTAATAACAGGGCTTTCAATAGTTTTAACACTACTTGTGCTTAATTTCATGTCTTTATTCTCCGTAATGGCTGTAATTGGGATTGAATTATTTTTTTCATTTTGAATGTTAACATTTTGATTATATAAATTTTCTATATTTGGAACACTGTTCACTTTTATAAAATCAGTTTTTATTTTTTTTAATTTCTTTCCTTTTGAAAATATTTCTAGATTTCTCTTCATTCTTTGGGAATCGTTTAATATTTTAATAACTGACTTACGTCTACCTTTGGGAGGAACACTCTTCAATTCATTATTTACATTGTCATTATCAATACTAGCAAATTCCTTAATTATTGGAGGAGAGATGTTATTTTTTAAAGATTTTAGTTTTCTTTTTGAGGTTTTGTTTGCATCTTTTGGAGACAAAGCAGCAATACTTTTAATTGGACTGATTAGTTTATCATGTTTTTTAATGTTCATATTATTGTAAATTAAATCATAGTCAATTTGTTGTGGTTTTAAAGTGCAAGTGCGTTTCGGAGCAATTTCATCATGAATTAATGGTTGTATTTCATCAAGTAATCGCTTTTTGCTTTTTTTATTAATTTTACCATCTAGTGGTGAACATTCAGTATTTTCTGTCTTGCCCAAATAAGCATTACTAATATTATTATTTTCTGGTGAGTCTTTTAATTCATAAGTTTTATTAAATTTCTTTGTAATTACTTCGAAAGAATCTTGAATGGAATCAGTTACTTCAGAGAGAAAATTATATATTTTTTTTATTATCTCAGGTAAAGCATTTTCAGCTCCCAAATCAAGTTTATTGAAGGCATTTATATGCTTATAACCACAAGAATTTATGGAAAATATTAATTTATTTCTATTTTTAAATATTGTTTTGCAAATTTCAGATGTACTAAAACCAAGAGGATTGCTTATAAGTTCTTGATCATTTTTAGTTAATGTATTATTTTTTATAAACTGATCATGAACAATATCAGTTTGAATAGAAACAGATGAGAAATGCTTTTCTTCTGGAACTGGAGATACAAAATGAAAATGTCTTGTAAAATTCATAGCTTTCTCAAATGATAATTCATCTTCTAGTTTTATACATTTTTCACAAGCAATATTTTTGTTTTCTTCCACTGGCATTTTCTGAGATTTAACCTTATTATTTGCTGGAAATTCACTTTCATCATCAGAAGAAAGTTCTAGATCAGCCATAAGGCAGTCATCAGTATGATCCGTTTTATTAGCATTATTTGTCAGAAAAGATTTTTTCTCATCCAGTTGTTTATCATATAATGTTTTTAGTTCATTCAAATCACGGTTTAAATTCTCACATTCTTTTAATAAATTTTGATTTGAGTTAAACAGCTCTACATTTTTCTGCAATGATTTTATTAAAGATTTTATTTAAGTTTTTTATTTGAATATTTATATATATTTATATATATATATATATATATATATATATACATGTGTATCTATATAAGTTACCTTTTCAAGATCCTTTATTTTTTCATCTCTTTGAGCATTCTCTTTAACTTCTTCTCGTCGATTATCATATAATTCTTTTAGTTCATTCAAATCACGGTTTAACTTCTCACATTCTTGTAATAATTCACGCTTTGAATTAATCAGTCCTGCATTTTCCTGCAATGATTATATATTATACATATATATATATATATAAAATATATATATATATATATATAAATGTAAATATATATATATATATATACATATATATAAATGTAAATATGTGTGTATATAAATTACCTCTTCAAGGTCCATAATTTTTTTATCTTTTTCAGCCAGATCTGTATTATCAATAGTTAATTTTTCTATTAAAGGTAAACTTCTGCTGCAAGTTGATTATAATGTTTATATTATAGCATTGTTGATTAGCAGGATATATATATAAATATATATATGTATATATATATATTATATATATATATATATATATAAACAATTTCATGACACATTTTGCATAAATTATACTTACTCAATTTGCAACAACCTTGCTCGAAAAATACTGTTCGCTCTTAATAACAAAGGTAGATCATCTGATAAATCCTAAACATAAAAAAAATATGAATTTCACACAATTGAGACAAAACCTAAAGCAACGTAAAGACAAAACGAGTTTATACATCTCAAATCAAAAAATCTCAATCCAAAATATTGCACAAAAATTATTATTATTAAAAGACAACACATTATACGATAGGTTATTATAACCTCAAACATTGTACAGGATTTGACAAATTTTTACGAACCTTAACTTTGTTTGTATCTTCTTGTTCACAATTATTTACAGTTTCACATTCCATTTCCAACAAAATATTCATGTACTAAACCAAATACATTTATTACTTAAAGTAATCACCGGCATTTTTATTAATTTTGATAACAAGATTCTGTAACTTTAGATCAAAGACAAACAAGAAAACACACTACTATCTAAACAGAAGTTGGCAACATAATAAAACAAAAAAATTACATTTCTCAAAATCTGATGGTGTCAGTGATAATATTTTAATATATTTTATATTTATGTTATAGTTATTACGAGTAACTGGTTCAAATATGTATTTCGGATTCTAAACTATATATAACTGAATAATATAAACGCACTTTCATTAAGAATGCCAGATACCATAGATAGATGAATAAACAGACACAGCATCGCGCGCTTTTCACTATGGCGCGCCGCTAACCTAGTGATTGTTATCGATTCAAATTAAAGCGCCAGAATTAAAAAAAAAACATGATTTATTATATTTTGTAATATATTCAAATATAAACCTATCAGTTTTCAATGAATCATGTTTAATAAAGCATGCATTTTAGATTTGGGACGAAGTTATAACATCTGCATTAAAGGCAACTTATATAACAATAAAAAAAAATTATAAGAATGAAAAATATTTTCAAAACCTCATATAATATAAAATATTTGGAAATAAATATAATATAAATATAATATTTGGATAAAAATAAAATAAATAAAATAAAAATAATATAAATATAATATTTGCGATAAATTCAAAGTACTTGAACAGCATCCTAAAAAATATATTCAGTTAAATATACATATAATATGATAAAAACGATTTAATCCATATTCTAAAATTAATCCAAAATTAGATTGCATATTTAACATAAATTTAGAATATACATATTATATATAAAATTACAGAAAAATAGTATTGATAAGTATTATTAACCATATTAATAAAGGCCTAATATAAGGTTTGTCAACTAATTGCCATTAATATATCTCATTATTTTCTTAAATTATGAGATGTATTAATTTAATATAGAGAGAAACACTATATTGATATATAATAATTCTAATACTTTAAGTATGTATATATTCAAGTATAATACTTAAGTATGAGTCAGAAAGTCTCAAAACCTTTAAGAAATTCTCAATTTTGGAATTTTACAGATTTGCTGACAATAAGATATGAGTGATATTATAATATTTTAAAATATAAAGTTCAAATTTATAGGCATAGTTTCAAAAGGCATGATTTGCACTTAAATTGAATTTAACCAAATTATAATACTTAAACATTTCCATATAATGTAAATTGTAATTATTTCTTATTACGATGCCTGTGTGACAAGTTTCTTTTTATCCATTACTGCATTATCTACTTTGGGTGCCTTGCCAATACTGCAAGTATTATCAATTGTGATAGCTTTGGAGCAATCCCGAGTTTTGTGAATACAGACGAAACGATCGCAAAGATCAAACATATTGTTTCGTAGAGAGATGATTATGAATTGGGCATTTCGAGTACGCTCCTGAGAATAAAATTGAGAGATTAGGTATATTTAATGAAAATAAAATGAGAAAGATATTTTTACATTCATTAAGTTTAGATATTGTACATTATATTTAATGATATGATTAAAATGAAACACAAAAAAATTGATATCAATATCTACAATTTTGTACTCATTTGTATCAATATCTTGATGCATAAAAATTACTGAAAAAAATAATTTTAGTAACAACTACTGTGGTACCTCTCAAACCAATTTTTTCCATATAAATACATTTTTATGCCATTAATTCTTTTCAGCACTGTGGTATTTGTTAAGTTTTTAGAATATTAAAAATAAATTTATTATTTATTTAGTTTCATTGAAAGACTTCCATTCTTGAACTGTTGCAACTTTTTTTCGGATAATTCTTATTCATAAGTTTTTAGAGCTCAGAAAGCTGCATACAAATTATTATAAGACCTTTAGTTAGAGTTACATCCTTTATCAACTAATTATGTTTAAACACAGTGAATATCTATGTGTTTACGTACATCCTAGCCATTCTCATATTTTTCAATAACTTCACTTTCAATAATTCAAGAAATATGGCCCTTTTCTCTTGGTTATGATCATAAAAGCAAATAATATTTTGTAAATGTAAAAAAAGCAAAACACTTGTTCGACCTCTATTAATATATAGTAGAAATCTCAAACATTGCAACAATCCTCAATATATTTGCTTGCGTTAATCAATACTAACAATTAATATTAATATAAAATTGAAAAGACTAACTATAAAATAATTTATATCAAAATATTTTTATGATAGAAAAATCATTGTTACAAGTAACGAAATTATTTATATTTTCATTTTGCCGTTAACATTTTTCAAGAAAATTCTTACTCGCACAAAACTAGAATATTGCTCTTGTGTCGAAGAAACAAATATTTAGAAACACTCGTATGACAGGTCACTCGTAAGACGGACTTAGAAATATATTTGTCCTATAAATAAATATTTTCTTACCTTAATATAATTGGCCACAATAGAAACATTTCTAAAGTCTAAGGCTGCATCAATCTCATCCATAACATAAAGCGGCGAAGGCCGGTAATAATGTAAAGCAAGTACCAGAGACAAGGAAGCTAAAGTCTTTTCTCCTCCAGATAAATCACTTATAGCTTTCCATGATTTTTTAAATGGTCTTACACTGAAATTTATGGAATAGTCATTTTAATAAGCTAGATATACCATATTTACACCATGTACATTATTAAATTCCCAAAATTTTGAATTGATTTTGAAAACTTAAAAACTATTCAGAAGATATATCATTTGGGTGCTGTGCTGATTAAATTTTGACAAAGATTGACCATCAGAGACTTGGTATGACTTAGAGTTGTAGTTCATCAACTTTTTTATAAACAATCTAAATATAATATTCAGATTCAGAACTTAATAAAATAAAAATAACACAAAATCATATGATTAATTATACAAATACTTCTGATATATCTACAACTTACTTGAACACGATTCCTTCATTAAAAGGAAGCATAGAGTCAACGAGATCCAATGAAGCATCTCCACCCAATGTTATTACCTAAAAGATAATTTAACTAAGTAACAAATAAGTTTAAATACCACAACATATAATTGATAGAAATTGTTATTGCACTGTGTTTATTAAATAAATATTTTATTCTGCACTCAAGTTGCAGGGTCATATGGGCCTAGTTTTCTTGTATTTCATATTCTAAATATTGTATGCTCTTTGTACAAAAACAAGCTTAAAATATTCTCATAGTATTTGTATAAAGCAACAAAATATGAATTTAGATCAATTTATCAAGTAAAAAAACACAGGTTATAATTTATATTCACTCACCTGATAAAGTTCTTTTAACTTCAAAGAAATAATTTGAAACCCTGTGATGAATTGGTCATGTCTGTCTTTAGATAATTTTTCTTTTAATTTACGTATATTGTTTCGTTCATCAGTCAAAGCATCTAATTCCTCAGTTCGCGCAATCAATTGAACCTCTTTATTCTTATATTCCTGAGAATGAAAATATTATATGTTAAGACAAAAAAATCTAAATAATTATTGGTTACTAAATAAAAATAGTATTCATCATACTTCTATAGCTTGCATGTTGGGCTGTGATTTTTTTAAGTCTCCATGAAGTACTGATGATTTATACAACAAGTTTTCTTCCTTGAATACTGCAAGTTCTTCATTTGTGTATTCCTTCAACTTTTGTTTTTCATTTTCATTTTCATATGGAATATCCTCCAGTTTCAAACTTTGTAATTCACTATTAACTTTATGTAATGCTGAAGCATTTTCTTTTAATTTGCTAGCCAATTCTGCAACTTCTTGTTCACTGTCCAATTTATCAGAATTTAATTTGACTAATTGTTTGCTTAGATCACTTGTGGAAGACTTCAGGGAATTATATTCTTCCTCCGTTTCACTGATTTTTGTCTGAAATATAAAAAGCAACAATACAATAATTTATGTAAAATATTAACAAGCAATATTAACACATTAACTATTTTACACACACACACACACATATATATGTATATATATACATGTCAACATCAAATTCAGAACCATACAATATATATATATATATATATATATATATATATATATATATATATATATATATTTATCAGTATGCAGAGTTGCTGTGCTTATCAAGTTTCATCGAATGGCTAAATTTTCAGATCGGTTCAGCCGTTTTTGAGCAAACCTCAATGAAAAGTCTACTTTTGACTAACTTGTTCTCGGAAACATCAAGTCAAAAAATTGTTCACAATATTAATATTAAGACATTCACCTCGTATTCACTAATTACTTCAACCAGCTGAGCAGCATCTTCTTCCAGCTTTGTTTTTTCATCTCTTAAATCTAATATTGTCTTTTCAAAGTTCTTGATATCAGCCTCATGTTTAGAAACCATTTTTTTACATTTTTCCAGATTTCTGTAAAATAAAACTTGATGTTATTATTTTGAAATGGCTTTATTTCAACTTTAATTACGTCTTGTAATAAGCACCAAGTAACAGTAATTTATAATTCAAATGCATTAAAAAATTAAGGATAGTATTTTCATTTATAAAATATTTGTATGATGGCAATGTGTCTACATGCCGACGAAGGCTAAAAATCCTCAGGATCTAATTCACTACCTCAAATATCACAAGCAATAATAAATCTACCTCAAGGAACACACGACTTAAATAAAATTGTTAAAAAAAACACTATAGGAATTAAATACAAAACGGGTACACGTCGCAATTTAGCGGCTTAGATTTCTACATATCACACGATGCGTGTATATCTATTGTTATATACATAAATGTTATATTTCTTGTCATCTATAGTTTTATGATTATTTTAATTGTATTATAGGCCTAGCGAAAATTTGTTTGTCAATTTTTGTTGGTTTTATTCAATAGTACGAAATATTATATGAATATATTTTTATTATATTTGTAAATTGAAAAGGTTGTGTTAGTTTGTAAAAATTTCAGTTACTAAATATATATACTCGAAATTGTTGATTACACAGTTTTCTCTGCTCATTTATCTTAGAAAATGTCTTATAGAATGATGAATGTATGTTTGACTATTATAAATTTCAATTTCTATTATGTGAAAAGCGTGAGATCGACTTCGGAACATTAATAACGAGGCGATCTGGCGTTTATTTTCATTTTAATATATTATAATAATTTTATGGATTTGTATATACAATTATTTGACATTTATGCTAATGTTTAAAGTAAGAAAATTTTATAGAAATAAGATATGATTTAAAGATTATTGCATGAAAAAAATTATAAAACAGAATGAAAATAAATTTACAAAATAACTATCTATATACAACAACAAAATTTCTACCCTGTACTTAAATTTATAGAAATAACATTAATACAATAATAGGTCCAAAACAATTCATATAAATCTTGTAACAGGCACTAATATTTCATTTGACTTTTTGTTGAAAAATTAATTTTGATATCAATATCAATTAATAAAATCAATTTTAATATTAAATAAAATTCTTGATTTACCTTTCATTATTGGTAAGTTCGATTGTAAGTTTAGCCGATTCTTTTTTCAGATCATCAATGTTCTTAGTTACATTTTTCAATTCCTTTTCTACTTTAAATAAAGTGTCTTTCTTCAAACGGTTCAATTCTTCATCTAATTGTTTCACTTTATTTTCCAACTGCAACAATAAAATTAATTGTAAGCCATAAAAGCAATTTGACTAAATACAATAACATTTTTCACTATTAATAGTATTTCAGAATAGCAATTTTAAAAATAACAATAAATTTGAGCTTTGATTTATATCATATGATACAATTTAATATTTAGATATTTTTATTATCATATACTTTCTTCATGTTACACTTTCAGTTTTGATATATATTAGAAATGCCTTAAATTTGAAGGATTTTATAATTAACATAATAACAACTGTTGATAAACCAGATGTGGTATATGAATCACAGAATGATTAAATCCTTGATTTATTACTGTGAATCAAATCATACAATATGAGAAATACCTCTTCGGAATCTTCAATTGATTTTTTATGTTTTAGCTCAAGATTTTGAATTATTTCTTCTTGTTTCTTCACTGCCTTTGCATCACTACAACTATTTTTCACTTTTTCTTGTTGCTGCTTCAAACTTTTCGATAGCAATACATGTTGTTCGTTTAGGGCCTAAAGCAAATTTCTAAATTAATTTTGAACCACAATAAAAAATAATAAAAGGAGTAAGAAAATAATTAATAAATGTTTATAGAAAATACCTACATTAACTTCCATTGATAGCTTTTTATGTGTTGAATCAAAATCTTGTAATGCTTTGTAATTGCGCCTTATTATTTCTTCCAAGCTTATCTAAAATTATAATTAAATTAAATTAATAATAATTAAATAATTAAATTATTCTGGTTTATAAACATGGTATTTATAAGTGTAACATTATATAACATAAATTCTATATAATAAAAGCCCGCCAAAGGAACGATTCGTTGCTTTGAAATACGAACAAAATTCGAAATACAAGCGAGCTTTGAGGGATCAAGAGTTTTCTTGAAAAATATTGATGACAAAAAGAAAATGAGAAAACTTGCATCAGTTGTAACAATAATTTTTCTACCATAAAAAATTTTTAGTTGTTGTATGACAGTAAATAATATTATAGTTAGTCATTTCAATTATATATTAATATTACTTGTGATGTTACGATTTACCCACACGAATGTGTCAACGATTATTTTAACATTTAAAAGTTAGACTATAAATTAATAGTGAATGTATAGTTATATATGTTGAATTCGCGTTTCTTTGCTATTTTTACATATACAAAATATTTGCTTTCATAACCATGAGTCTCTAAGAAAAGGGCTATGTCTCCTGAATTATTGAAAAATTTAATTTAAGTATTAAATTTCAATTTTCATGTTTCTGGAACATATTAAATATTCTTAAGCTAGATTGCACAATAAATCCATACCTCTCTGTCTCGTTTTTGTTCAAGCTCTTTCTGTAAATTATCTCGCATAATTTCTAAATTTTGTAAATCTGCCTGGCTCTCTATATTAGAGTTAGATCTACGTGTGTGTGTTTTTATTTTGCTGCCCATGCGGTTTCGTGCAACTGATTTTCCTCCTCCAGTCATAGTACCTTTCAAAAAGTACGATGCATTGTTAAGTTTTGCATACAAAATGTATTGTAAATAATTCTATATTTTAATGAGCTTTAATAGATTAAAAATTAACATTGAAGATCTAACAAATTCTAATTCATAAAGTTGCAAAACAATATCTTTCTCGTCTGTTAAATAAGTAGAATTTGGTGAAGTAGCTTTTATTCATAACTGATCAAATTCTTACACAAATTACATACTACAAAATATTTTTAAATTTTTAGATAAAAAAATTAATAAAGAAAATTGATAAAAATAACTTGGAAAAGATAAAAGAAACATTATGTCTTAAAATATTGTTAACTCTGAAAAATTCACATATTTACAGATTAAGTTCAGTTAATATTAGCAAAAATTAATTAGATCCTAACAAATGGTTATTGAATTTTTAAAATACCCCAAATAGTTATTTGGGGTATGTATGTAATATGTATTTATATATACAAACTGTTATTTGTGAAGACATGACCTGACTGATCTTTCAAATTAATTTAATTAAATAATCAATCATTGCAGTAAAAATATCATTAACAGAATTCACTTCTTAATCAAATGATCAAAATTAAAAGAGATGAGAAGATATTAAACTTTTATTTACAGTAAGCCATAAAAATGTTTGTCTTACCAGAGCACTCAAACAATTCCCCTTTCAATGAAACAACTCTGTGTCTTGGTGTTCCATAAGCTAGACGCATACATTGTTCCAGATCAGCTCCAACCAGAGTATTTCTCAGGGCAAAGTAAAATGCTGGTGCTAAACTTTCATCGGCAATACGCACTAAATCATATAAACGAGGTGCATTCTCAGGGCTGCAACCATAAAAAAGATAATTTTAATTATAAATATAATACACATATAAATGTAATAAGCATCACAACAAATATAAATGTAATACACATCACAATTTTTAATATTCAATGCTTAATGTTGAATATAATAAAAAAGTTGTAAGTGGCATTTGACCTAAGCGAGTTGCACTTCCCAATACATTTAAATAATCAACCTCATCAATATGAATTGAGATTCAAATATTTAGGCAAACTTCTTCGAAAAGTTTTAGTATACATATTATGCTGATAACAGAGCATAATCAGTTTAATATTAGATACCAATAATTTATTCATTGCAACATTGAAAAAATCTGGTAATATATTGCATCTGTCAACTTAAAGCCCCCTTTGGTCATAGATATATATTAAATTATTTTTATATATTACCTTTGGAATGGTGTTTTAATAGCATTCCATAAATGTTCCTGTTTGTCCAGTGCAATAAATGTTGTCCGCCCTATATTGTTATCCTGAAGAAATTTCAAAGCAGTTTGAGCTGTATCCATATTATCAACAAGAATACAATCAAGTTGTGAACACGCAGTAGATATTGCAACATTGTATTTATCATCTATAGCGCCTAAATCACCCTGAAATAAAGATTTAATACATGTTAAAATATTTTGTTTAATTTTTAGATGTTTTCCTTTCAGATATATATATATATATATATATATATATATATATATATATATATACACTGAAACATATTTAGAACAGCAGGAACAATATTGTTTCTCATGAATCTAATAAGTATCAAGCATGATTTTGTGAAACTAGTCTCTTAATGAAAATAATAATGTAAAAAATGAATAGCAAAAAGTGAATACTAACCAGCCTTCCTATAAGCCCTGGGAGCTGACCCTCTTGCTTTTTCCTCATCAAATAATCAAGGATTCTATTCCGGCTACTGCTTTCTTGATATACTTCTCGACTTTGCGTCAGCTATGAATAATAAAATTGAAAAACAATTTGTTGTTAAAATTCAATCTACTAAACAAATTGTCACACTATGTAACTTTGCAATAAGCACTGTATATATTAGTCTGTTTTCAAGTAGAATAAAAATAAAAAGGAAAAGGGAAAAAAAAAGCATCTCTTGCCACACCATATAACTATGAACGAATATTAACAAATTCCTCCTCGTAATGGGTTTTATATAACATGTTAAATATTAAAAGATAATTATATTATCAGGTGCCATCAAAAACTATACTAACCACAAAACTTATTGTGGATATAATATAAATCTTAAGTCCTTATATTATAATAATCAGACTATTATAATATTCAAAAAGGAAAGCATATTACATATATAGCAAGACTAGCTAACAAGATACTGGGATTTGTTTATATGTTCTCTTTAAGAAGATAATAATTAGGAATAATTTAATAAAAAAATATAGTCAAGTTTTCTTTAAAAGTTCAAAATTAAATTAAGTAAATTGTTTTTAAATTCAAAAAGTCATTACTCATGACTGAAGATTTCATAAAGAAGTTATTTTAGTATATAGTATTTCAACAACAAATTTCAAAACTGACCTGCTTAGTTATCTGATGAATTTTAGCAATTACATTTGCTGTACTTTCTTTAATGGGAACCAGTTCATCTTGAGCTTCTTTTAATTTTTTCTCTATTTCAGGTTTCATTGTTGTAAAATTATTCAACTCCCTAAAATTAATGTGATGAAATATGAAATATTCTATTATCAACAGCATCAAGAATTAAAATTCACATACATGCTTTTAGGACCCAGCTGACTTTTAACTTCTTCTAGTTGCCTTTCCATGTCTTCTAACATGGCCTTTTGCTTATTCTCATTGCTTTGTATTAAAGTTAATTTTGATTTTTCCATATTCAGCTGTGAATATTGTTAATAAAATTAAAAGGTTAATAAATTTTATTACAACTAGCCAATAGATTGAATAACAAAAAAAAAATAAAATCAAACATTGTACTCCATAAATAATTTATATCAATTAATAATATTTCTAGAGTTCTAAACATTCTGAATTCAAGAGCATTGAATTTATGATTTTAGTTTCAGTGCACATTGTTTAGCTAAATTTTGTTTAAATAGTTTAGTTTAAAAATCAAACCTCTGATAAAATTTTAGAAGAGGCTTCTTTAAACGGCATAAGCTTTTCAGAAGCCTTTGATCTCTGTTCAACTATAACCTCACTCTCCTTTTTAAATTTGGTCATTGATGATTGTTGCTCGTCAACAAGTTTCATTTTCCTTTTTTCAAGATTTGCTAAATCCTCTGCACATTGTTGTATTAACTTATTATTTTTTTCAGGAATCTAAAAATTTGATAAACTTAATGAGTCTGATATTTGCTATAAGACTTTATGTAAACCATGTAAAAATTAAAATCAAATTAAAAAATTGACTAAACTTTATTTATAAAAGCATACAAACCTGCTCCAGTTCCAAGAGCTTGACTTTCTCCTTCTCAAATTCAGTTTTCAGTTTTTTCCGTTGATTGTTTGCTTGTTGCATTTCAATAGTAATAATATTGTTACGACTATTTGCTTTTTCGTATTTTGCATTCTGTTTAGAGAAGTGCTTCTTCAAATCATTGAGTGTTCTGTGATAATAGTTACATTAGTTAATAATGACATTATTTTATAAAACATTATTAAAGCAATTAAAAAGTATCTCATTTTTTACTTCAATAAATCAGCACCACCAGTCTCGTTTTTATTCTTTTCTTTTTCAATTTCTTCTATAGATTTCAAAATGATATTCAATTTTTCATCTTTTTCATTTTTCACTTCAGTTATCTTACTCTTCTCCACTTGGCATTTCATTCTAAAATATATAATGCCATTGTAATTTCAATTTTATTCTAGATACTTTAATTGAATTACCTCTGATATTGAAGTAATTCACTTCTCACAATAATAAGTTCATTTCTTTTTCTTAGATGTTCTATGGCAGCATTTTTTGGTCCCTCCATATCTTTTAACTCACGCTGTAATAATTTTATTCTATTTAATCGATGTTGATGATCCTCTGTAAGATCCTCCCATTTTTCGTTTAATTTACTGATGGGCTCCTAAAATAAAAAATAGAAACGAAAGCAATGTAATTATTATTAAATTCTATAAAACATAAGTTATTTTTAGTGATGTATAAACCTTGTATCTTGTTGTTCCTATGATATCTTCCAAATATTCTAACATTCCACGATCATGCTCAGTTTGAGCCTTTGGTTTCATTAAGGAAATTTGTTCCACTTCTCCCTGTAAACCATGATTATGTATAAAATTATTATCAGAAAAAATATATTTATAATGATAAAATTAGAATAAACTATAGTAAAAGCAACATTCATTTCAAAATACAGTTTTAATTGAAAAAGATTAATTGTAAGAATTGATATAACAGCCTAAATCTTATTCAATTAGTTACCTGAAGAATAAGAAATCTATTACTTGATAAATCAATTCCATATCCTCCGAGCAATGAAGCAATTTCCTTATATGTTTTCTTCTTACCATTCACACTGTAGTAAGATGAATTATCTTTAAAAGCAGTCCTCCTGACTTCTATCTCATTGCCAACACATTTGTAAGTTCCATCATCATTATCCACTATGCTTTGAAACACTACAGCAACAGAACAACTATTGACATTCTGTGCACGACTAGAATTATGAATAAGGCTAGACACTTTCTTCGTTCTCATGTTACTAGCTCTATATCCAAAAACAAAAAGCATTGCATCAATAACATTACTTTTTCCGCTGCCATTCGGTCCAATGACAGCTGTAAAATTTTGATGTAAGGGCCCAACTATTCGGACGCCATAATAACTTTTAAAATTCTCATTAATGATTTTAGTAATTATTGTCCGTGGACCATTTGTTTCCATTGAACATACTGGTTTGTATGGAGGAGGAATATAAATGTCTCCAACGTAAGAACCACCTTCTTCAAAAATATCATCATTTGAATCATCTAAATTCGTTTCTCTATTGCTACTATTAACGTTAACTGGAGTAGGCTTTTTAGATGCCATTTTATTACCTACAACAACCAAGTCATTTCTCGTTAAAATTATATTTTAAATTATAAATAAAGTTTTGTATAAAAACAATAACATAATGTAAAATATTGAATATATATAACTCACGCGCAATTAAATTGTAATCTTAAAATATGTATTGGTAAAATGCCTAAAAAAAATAATAAATTTAACGGACAAGCGGTTAAACTGAATAAGATTTGACAGTCCATATAGCATAGACCCTTTCCTTATGGCATAGATGATAAACTACATAACTAAATAAAGTACAATGCTTGGCTGCATTTTAAGTACTATGTAGGTTCTTATCTAGGTTATTCTATGTTTTTAATCACATAAAAAACCGGAAATAAAACAAAACTGCCATTTAAAAATATGAACGTAAAATTATTTATGGATTTGTACATAATATTATTTTTTTTCTTGTACTTCGAATTTGATAAAAAAAACTTATTTTATGGTAATTAAAAAAGTCATTTTTAACTTATTTCCTATAAATAAATGAAATACCTTTCGTCGTTAAAAGTTACCGCTGCAATTAAAAAAAATGTCACCTTGTTCTATGAGAATGGCAACACTGCTAAACTAATAGATTATTCAAACCTAACCTCGAAATATTTAATATGCCTAGACAACCTAGACAATATAATAATATAGACGTTTCTCTCTCCCGGTATTTTGGTTCAGAGAGTTAGTTTTCGTAGCGTACAACAGTTCGAAATGGCGCTTCAATCGCGTAGCGCTCGGCATTCGAATTAGCGCGCCAAAATTTGAAATAAAAATATTACAGTTTTTAAAATAAATATAAATAAGAAATGTATAATTTGAAAAATAATTTATTTGAATTGAACTTTTGTATTACAATATTATATTTTGTAAAAATACAATGAAAATGACATATCAAACAATATTTGTATCACATAAATAAAAGTAAAAGAAGGCAATAAACATAACTACATGTGTCAATACAAATCACTCATTCTTGTCATAACAATTTCGATTGGGTTCTAACCTGTTATTATAATAATTTTAGTAAAATATAGTCACATGTCATCAGTAAATTATAATATGAAAGGTTTCAGCAATGCATTTTCTAATTATAATAATCTGGAATAGAATAGTCATTAGTAAAAATTATAATACATACAACCACACAGAAATATAATTTCTAACAATAATAAAATGGATTAGAATATAGTCATTAGTAAAAATTATAATAAATACAAGTATACAGAAATGTAAGTAAGTAACGATAATAAATGGAAAAGAATACATAATATAAAATGGAATGGAGTATCAATCGCCAGAAAATTACCACATACAGAAGGATTCAGAAATATAATTTTTGATAATAATAAAATTGAATGCATAATAAAATGGATTAGAATACAGTCATTAGTAAAAATTATAATAAATACAAGTATACAGAAATTTAAGTAAGTAACGATAATAAATGGAAAAGAATACATAATATAAAATGGAATGGAGTATCAGTCACCAGAAAATTACCACATACAGAAGGATTCAGAAATATAATTTTTGATAATAATAAAATTGAATGCATACAATAATAAACACACATATTATTGTCTAGGACACATATGTTTCAACTAAAGAACCACTAGTTTTCAGAATGAGTAGTTAAAAAGCTAATAGATGTTTCTTGCACCATATAATTTTGTTCATGCTCTGAAAACAAAAGAATTCAAAAGCAGTAAAAAATGTAAGTGAATAATATATATATATATATATATATATATATATTCTTGAATGTTAATTTTCAGCCAATTGTCGAAATAAATGAAAAAATAAATAAAGAACTATTTATTTATACGTTTCGACATGGTTGTGTGTCATCATTCAGCAACCCTTTTTGAAATTTTTTACAGTTTCTAAAAGAATTTTTTTTCACAACCTCGAACAAAAAAATCTAATATTGTGTGTGTGTGTGTTTGTGTGTATGTGTATATGATATGCATATGTATAATAAATAATATATATACGGTAAATTAAAAAAATTAGCGCACACCACGCTTTGTGTTACGAATTGCCAGTTGTCTCTTTCTCATTTTATCAAAACGCAATAGAGCTTTTGTTTTCATAACATTCATAGGGCTAGAAAAAGTTATTTTACCGCGTAGTGCTAAATTAATATCATTTACCCAATATTTTATAAAATACGGTACAAAATGGTTCAAAAATATTACTTTTAAATTGTGTATTGGGCAATCAAAATTAAAGTTTTGAGTAAAAACAAATTTATCCACAATGCAACTAAGCAATGTTTTTAAATTATTTTTTACACAAATTTTAGGTAAAAAATGTTCCGAAACTCTAACGCATTTGGAAAAAATGTGAACAAAGCTTCTAGAAGGAAAAACAAGAGATTTTCCAGTGCGATCCCTAACCCTTATCAGCCAATAATCATCTCCATCCTTTTCTGTTGCTAAAATATGGGACTTACACATGGAGCACGATTTAACATTTTTTAACATTTTCTTGGTAATGAAGCCAGTCATGTATGTATTCACCTGGACATGCAGTAAACTGCTACTAACTTCTTCTAATGTGAATTCATCAGTATTCACATTAGACGAAACTAAAACATCTTCATGCAAGCTAGATTCACACATGGAATTGACTGATGCATTAGACAATAGTAATGTTTTTAACGAATCAATCGCACCTTCTGTTTTATCAAGCTCACAATTGGCAGAGCAAGAATGGACGGAATGAAACCTATTGACGACAAGACTTTTATAGGATCCAATAAAAGCACTGCAAGAAGGATTGCGATTGTTTACCCCGTGACTTCTAATACTACCAAAAAAATTTTCAAGAGGGTCTTGATTAAAATTACGAGTTGACAAAAATTTAATTTCCGGACACTTTATTTTCTGCCAAATATATTCGAAACCCTCCAATGTTCTAATAAAATTTTGAATAGTTGGTGGTGTTTTAACTCTCTTGTCTTTCTTATAGAAGCATATGCTTTTTAAGACATGTCTAGCTTCCTTCCAAAATACTAAATGCTTAGACTTATCTGTAAGAGCACTGCGAAGAGGTTTATAGTCACTGGCAGAACTAGAAGCTGTTCCATTCACACTGTCAAACAGCTCATCTATGAATTTCAGGAAATCAGCAGTCCCAGTACCTTCTTGAGGAAAATTATCATCTAGAATACGATTAAAAGAGGTTGTATTATAAATGCGATTAAATACATTTTACATAATTTTCTTTTACTCACACTGCTTAGTAGCATATCTGTGCATCATTGATGAAACGCTATAAGAAAACACCACTGCAGCATCCTTCACTCTCATTTTTCTCATTTTGTCAGGATACACGTTATGTGCTCGTAACTTGTAGCACATGCGAAAATTGGGCAATTCTGAATCAATTTCGAATAACTTAATTATATGGCTCCAGGATGCCCTTTTTTCTTGATTACGTTGAATGAAAGTGACATCATATGATGAAAAGCTGTTTCTCAAACATTTCAACATATGTGGTGGATCATAAAGTGGTATGATTTCCTGATCACCAACAAGAAAGCCTTGAAGTTTGCAACTTCTGTCTTCTTTGAGAAACTGTGCTCTTGTCTCGTTAAGCAACAAGTTAATTGCGGCGACATTTGTAGCATGCTGATCACATACAGTGGCTACAACAGTGAGACCAATTTCCTGCAGGCTTGATATAACTTCTCTTATACAAACTTTAAGTTCAGCGCTTTTGACACTACTTTCAGCAAAGTAGAATGCCACTGATGTTTTAAAGTGTCCACGAATGCCTTTAATCATGAACACCAAAGCATGGTCAGCAAACTTTGGTCTCCTCTCTGTAACCTCCTCGAAGCCTGTTATATTATCCTTACTCTCGTCATAATCAAGACCTGCAGAAATACTTATCTCGTCAAACATCAGAACACAGTTTCTATTAGATGGATCCATATTCAGAACAGAAGTACGCAAAGTCTCCATAAAAGGTTTATTTATACCAGAGCTGATCGGAATATTAGCCAAGGACTTAGAAACAGTGCTTTTTGAAGGTAAAGATAAAAAGGACCTCCAATATTTGTAACAGGATGGACTCTGTTTGTACAAAGCGATACCCAGTGCTTTTTCATCGAGGTTGTATCTTCTTCCTTTAGGCTGTTTCGGCTGATTTTTCATCTGGCATTTGATCAATGTCGCAGTTATTGAATTGACAACATTTTCAACTTCTTTCATGCTGTTTGTACTGCAAGCCTCCTTTAGCTCAGCTCTGGCAATTTCATGATTTTTCATAATTCGTCTGGCACTTCTCTTCATTGTCATAATTATATCATGACATTTCTTTAATTTTGATGAAAGCTGCCTGCGATGCTTCACACCTATAAACTTCAAGAAATTTCTCCTTGGTGTTCGAATATCTAAGAAAATGAATGATTTTATTAGTTAAATAAGAAATATATCTTTTCAAGAAACATTGAAATACCTGATCGTCTTATAGCTATATGAGGTACATTGGCAGGAACATCTGGAACAACCGGAACATCTGGAACATCCGGAACATCTGGAACAACCGGAACATCTGGAACAACCGGAACATCTGAAACATCTGGAACGAGCGCAGATAGATCGACTGAAATTGAATTTAAAATTATTAATTTATCTAAAATTTCAAGTAAAAGCTATATGAAATCATTTTAAATAACCTTCAATAAGAGAAGAAACATCTAGGAATTCAGATTGCAAAGAAGTAATTTCATTTCGAATGACAATTTCTTTCTTTAGTAACTTTCCTGCAAGTGGCAATTCATTGGATATTGATGGCACTGAAAAGTGCATTGTAAAAAATGGTGTTGCACAGTTTTTTTCTGCAATAAGAATAACACATGTTATGTACATTTTATTTACTTAAAACCATAATCAAAAAAAATTATTAGATAGAGGAAAGATAGGAAAAATAATGCGCAGCATGTTATCCATAATCAATAAAAGTTATAAGATATAATTATATGTCTAGGTAATTATAATTATAATAATATATTTGATATGTTATGTACATTTTATTTACTTAAAACCATAATCAAAAAAAATTATTGGATAGAGAAAAGATAGGGAAAATAATATGCAGCATGATATCCATAATCAATAAAAATTATTGGATATAATTGTTGGACATGTTATTTTATTTACTTGAAACCAAAATCAACAAAAATTATTGGATAGGGGAAAGATAAGGAAAATTATATGCAATGTGTTTTTTACCTAAATTGTCTGAAACCAGGAAACAATTCACTTTCAATAATGGATCTCCTGTGAATCCCGGCATATTAACTGTAGGCAAACAACCAAGTTTCAGGTTTGAACCACGCCAAGAACCACGCATTCTGCACGTCTGACTAAAATGTTCCGTGCACACACGTTTTCTTTTGTATATTTCTCTCCAACTCATGGTATAAAGTGCAGGCACTTGAATGCGCTTTAACCATTCCTTGAATACTCTTCCTTCGCGAGGGAATCTATGCAATAACGCATTATTGCGAATTTTACCGCAGCCTGGAACTATGCATTTATAACCCATACTTATTATCTGTTCAAAATATTGTATAAAACGCACAACACAATCGAACGATGTGGAAAACTGAGAAAAATGATCCTCCCGCTTCGAAGTTAAAATTAAACGAACGCAACCAACATGAAAGAGATGAAAGATTGAAATTTTAGAGTTAGATAAGACTTACCAACCTGCTACGCAACATGAAATCGGCTCACTAGCGCCAAATCCTCACCTAGGTTATGTTACTTTAAGCACGGTTTGTGAACGCGGGTTTTACACTGAGATACAAGGGCCTGCTAGACAATATAATAATTAATATGTTAATATGTTTTGAATTAAAATTGTAAAATGATGTAAACCAAATCATGTATGAAAAAAACAATATTTCAATCTAACGTATTATTTATTTTCAACAAAGTAAACCGAGTTTTCTAAAAGTTTAATCATAGGTTATGATGACGAACGACGTAGAAATTTACAAATATTTACGCGAAATTAATTGTTGCAAATCATGCTGTTTACGATACTTAGGATGTAGAAATAGTCAAACGTATTTGGACATAAAAAGCTCCCTAAGTCAGCTTGGTATTGAGGAATGTTCAGAAAGTTTAGAACCACCTCATAAACAAACGAAGGAAAATGTTTGTGTCACCTGTCTAGATCTTTTGAAGGAAAGAACAACAAATGATATATTGATGCAAATAGAACAAAGCAATAAATTCAACTTGTATGATAATATAAACATAGTTTGTGCTCTAAGCTTGCCGATATGTATTAACTTACGAGCTCTTTCTGTTTGGCTTTCCTTAATCAATAAATTTCCTAGTCGTTTTTCTAAAACTGTACAACCAGATGTCCCATTAAAAGAAGTTTGGAAATTTATCTTTGGTCCGAAATTGAGTGAATTTTATAAAATAACTTTAGCAACAAAAGGCACCATATTGACTGTCGAATTAGAATTTGAAAATGAAGATGAAGAATTAGAAAAACTTATAAAATCGAAACCAGATATATTTAACAGCAGGCGAAATGAGCCCAAAAAATATCGCCATATACTTACCAGAAAGTTTTTTGAGAATAATATTACACCAGAACATATTAGTTTTGAAGAGTTTGATAAATATTGCAATCTTCCTCCTTCAATTCCAGATTTTCCTTTGAAAATAAAAAATATATCAATTTTAGGGGATACTTTATTTATTGCTGGTAGATATAACAAGTTTTCAAGAAGTTTGTGTCAGACTCCCTGGATTATTGATGGAAAAAGAATGGCTGAAAGTAGTGTGCAAGAAATTATAGAAGAACCTGTTATAAAGTTATTCAAATGTGATAAAAATCTTGTACATCTTATTTCAAGTGGACGAGAAGATGTAGATGTTCGTTGTTTAGGATTAGGGCGACCATTTGTTCTTGAACTGCAAGATGTTCAGTACACCAAAGTAACATTTAGTCAGTTGCGAGATCTTGAAAATACAATAAACAAATGCCCAGACCTTCGTGTTAGAGATTTACAATTAGTAAACAGGGAAGATGTAAATCATATAAAGCAAGGCGAGGAAAACAAAACCAAACAATATCGAGCACTTTGTCTATACAATGGACAGAATAATCTTACAAATGATATGATCAGTATTTTAAATAAGCCTGATGGTTTTCTCATTCAACAAAAAACGCCTATAAGAGTGCTACACAGACGATCTATGATTACTAGGCCAAGATTCATACATAATATGAAAGCTACTTTAATATTAGATCATCCCAATTTATTTTACTTGGATGTTGTTACACAAGCCGGAACATATGTTAAAGAATTAGTACATGGAGATTTTGGCCGAACCATTCCAAATGTAAAAGATTTGCTTACATGTTATCTTAAAGAACATAATTATGAGGATGCATATAAAATAAATGTCGACATTGTTGCATTAGATGTTACTGCAATAGATCTAGATTGGCCGCCTCACATAGATATTAAAACGAATTGCCAAGATAATTGATGACAGACACCTTAGTAAACTGTTTTTACATATATGTGCAGTAGAAGGAATTATATCTCAAACTTTAGTTTTCAAAATATATAACAGACATCGTTCTAGTTAAATTGAAGAACATATGATAAATAAAAAATAAAATAAATTATATTTTTGTTAATTAGAAACAAGTATTTTTTATATAATTTTTTGTATTTAATAAAATATAATTGATTTAGAAATTGACTTACTTGTTTCTTGCAGAATGTAGACTTATAGAATTTATTGGCTGATTTGCTCCAGATGTCAGACATTTTAGAAATTCACAATATAAACAGAAAAAATAATACATTTAACAATGTACCTACTTCAAAATATATTGCATTTGTGTAATTACGTTTTTATACTAAAACAAAAATTATATTAGATTGAAAACTTTGCCATGAAATTTCACAGGTTATTTTTGAGTTTTAGAACCAATACTCTTCTTTTACCTACGTTTGTTTAGAACTATGCACATTTATAACTTCTTGGATGTCATTATTTTATCTATTGGTAATCATGTTAAAATCATATCTACTTTCTGCAAAAATGCAAATTTATAATAAAGTAAACGTGACTGTAATGTCATGACTAGGGGTTATGAACTAATACCATTTTTATTTACTAATCAATAAAAATTCCCGAAATTCATATATATCAACCAAAGAAACAAGTATAATGATATCAACTAAATCGTGGATTTCCATAATGTCGAGCATTTGAAAACTAGTACGTTTTATATGAACATATACAAAAATGTTTATTTATTAGTAAGTCACAATCCCCTCATTGTTTTTATATTAAACTAAACTATTTATCGTGGCATGTAATTGTAAACATTAGTGAAAGATGTTATCATAGATAAAAGAAGAGTATATGGATGTTATACAAAAAGAGTTTTGTATCAAACCGCCCATTTTCAAAAGTTAGTCGGAACGGGTCGGAACGTCGGAACAAACAAATGTTGAGAGCTACCAACACTTAAAAAAAAATTATAAAACCACAAAATCTGATTAGAAGAGTTTGGATTTTTGACGAGGTAATTTATAGATATTCCTAGAATGATATTATTCACATTAAAACGTACATCTCTCAAATTATCGCGTCATACAAAAACTCGTCGTGTACATTAAAACTTTCCATTACGTCAACGAGAATCTAACTGGATTGGAATATCAAATAATCCTTTAAAATGAATAATTTTTATAAACCAACAGATTCTAAACGGGAAATATTCCGTAAGTACTTGGAGAGAGCTGGCGTAATGGACGTAATCACTAAAGCCTTCACCAATTTATATGAGGAAGAAAACAGACCTGAGGATCCCTTGGAATATGTTATAAATGCAATGGGTGGAGTAATAGTTAAAAGGGATTCCGACATTCCTAACGTTCAAGTCGGTTCTGCTTATAAGAATCCCGAGATTATCGAGCAAAAGTCGGGATTTTGATGAAGGATCCTTATATTATTATTATTTATAAGAACGATAGAAATTTAAGTTAATAAAAATATATTCGATTTTAAATGATTGTACATAAGTAATACATATACTAAAGCCAGGAGGCTCTTATTTTTGTATGTAATTGATAATAAACTTTACAATGTACTTATTACAGTACTGAAACAAATATATTCTTTTAATCACTATTGTAGATGTTTAAATAAAGTTTATGATCACTCTAATTTAATTATACTCTTGAGCATGATGAGAATAATGTGAAGAATGCATTTTATTTAGTAAGTAAATTATTGAACTAAACAAACAATGTGCTTTCATATAGTTTTAAATTTGTTAAAAAATATCTAATATTTTATTTATATTATTTACAATATTAATGAAGTTGCTAAAATCAGTATTTTGTTAATATATTAATTTAGTTGGAAGCCCTCGAACTACCATAGAACACGAATTCAAGGAAGACTTGCAAAACCCTCTACTAATGGAAACAGCTTTTTGTAAGTCTGATTCTGATAAAATATCAGTATGCAAAGGACCTATGAAATTTGATCTCAAACAAGCAGCTTTTGTGTTGTCTAGAATGTTAAATTATTAAGGCTAATAAGATAATTATTGAAGGAACAATAAATATGAAAAAAAATGCTGTCATCCATCTGATATTTTTGAATTACAATAGTAGAATGCACACCATTTCTACCTACCAATTATTCCTTTATCCCATCTCTCAGTATTGCATTGTATGAAGTGTTTAAGTGATTTTGGACCAGGAATCCAAGTGGAAATTAACCTCGACATCATGAAGTCACAGTCCTTATCACTAACTTGCCATAAATTTCCAACTAAGCAGGGACTGAAAAAAAATGTAAATTTCAGGTTTCATGATAGTCATCCAACTAATTAAATAAAAATAAAATTATTAGACATTATGTCGACTTATTTCTCAAAAGGTATTAAAAATAACTCAATCATATATCTCATTTATAATTTAGATGTTTTTTACCTGCCAGCAATATGGTATGATAAATGAAGTCCATATTCTTCTGCAATACCCAATCTCCTTATTGAAACTGAAGAACATCCACTTAGCAAAGCAACACAGGACAAATCATGAGCTTCCAAAACGTCGTGGGATAGGAATTTTTGACCACCACCATGACCAGCATAACTGAAAAAAAACAATTAAAAATTAACAGTGTTTATATTAAAATAATATTAAGAAATTATAGGGCGAATACTTAGTTAAATAATTACTTTAGAGGATTGAGTGTATTAGTAGGAAATTGATTTAAGGGGTTGTTATGGTTTAGAGGCATAAATTTTATGCAATTTGTGAAGGACTGTAAAAGAGACAAACAATCTTTCTACTATTTTTCTTATAAGTAATTAATTAATGTTTTGAAATAAAAATAAAAAATAATCAAAACTTTAATTCTAGAAGTTGATGAAGTGAAGGATCTCAAAAAATTGGCCCAAACCATATCCAATTGTAATACATTTATGCATTAAATATATATATATATATATATATATATATATATATAAATATATATATATATATCTATATATATAAACTATATATATATATATAATATAAACTATATATATATATATATATATATATATATATATATATATATAAACTATATATATATAAACTATATATATATATATATATATAAACTATATATATATATATATATATATATATATATATATATAAACCATAATCAATGCACTTACTAGAATATTGAACTAGATTTTATAAGATCTAAGAACTCTTCTGTTGTAGCTTGCCTGCCTGAAATACCATCGATCCAATTGGGTAACCAATAATTTATGAATGATTTCACCCTCATTTCCATGAAATTTAAATTTTTATCTGTAAAGAATTTCATTAAAATTATATTTGCAAATTTTTTACAGAATTATCTTTATAACTTAAATGCATTTTTAACAAGTTTATAACTTGCAGCGCATTTTTACAGATAAGGTGAAAATAGAAACGCTTTATATTAATTTAGGTATCAGTTATATTTTTAGGGATTGTCTAAAGCAAGGATAAGCAACCTATTTAACGAATGGGCCAATATATACTTCAATATATATTGTAGTATATATTGTATTGACTTAAATTGTAAATATTTAATTTACATATTTTAGAATTTGAATAAAGTGTCTATAATCTATCTATCTATATAACATCACTTACTAATAAACATAAAATAAAAATACTTAATACTTTTATGAGAAATTTGGCACTACTTTTTTATATAACCTGATCAATATCAGTCTTATGCCATATGCAGATTTCTAATCGAGCATCACTCAGTTTTGACTTGTGGTCATTTTTGATGAATACCATGGTTAAAAATAATTGTTTGCAAAAGAGACATATTTTCTGCATTTCTTGACAAAAGCTAAATTTCCTTAAGGCTGACATGATTTTATAAAAAAATTATATGTCTACTAAGAAAAAATACAATTTTTAAATCTGTATTATTTTACATGTTGATCACTTCCATTTGATAGTTTTTATTTCAGTTTTTATTAACTGAAAAAAATATTCAAAGAGCTGCTAGTTGCTCATCCTTGGTCTAAAGATTGATTGGACAAATAAAAATGTTTGTTTACTATCAAGACATTACTAAAATACCTGGATCCAATATGTAACTTCCCTTCAGTTTATCAACAATAAAGTATCCCTCTTTTATCTGTTCTTTGTAGGTGTAGTACAGTGCATGTAATAAGTGAAGCGAATGAACTCGTGTTACTGATTGCAATTGAAAACATTTTAATACTTCCCATGGGATATGATCTAAATCCTGTAATATAATCAGAAACATAGAGAGCAGCATTTATATATTTCATAAATATAAGCATTCCTAAAAGAAAAATCTGATTAAAGAATTTAGTTATATTTTAAAATAAGTATTGATAAAATCACATCTTGAATCAATTAGTATAAAGTAAATAGTTATTCTAAGATATTCATTACATCAAAAGTGAAAAATGATTTTCTATACCTATGATAAATGTGAAAATGTAAAAAAAAATGTTATAGGAGTATTTTAAAGTGGGCACATTCCATATCCATGCAACATCCATTAAATGAAATATGAAAAAATTGAATTTGAAAATAAATGAAAACCTTTCAGTCCAAAAAAAAATAATCATAGTACATCACAATATATCACTTTGCTTGATATAAAATAATTTTATCAACAATTGCAAAAGGATTTACTTGATATTCTGAACTACTATTAAATCAATAATTATATATCCTACTGTTAAATTAATAATTGTTACAATATATCCTACAGACTTATTGAGTGATGTGTTATCATGACTTTTATATATATATGCATAATTATATATTTTGATAGAATATGCCACATTGATAGATTATATTTATAACCTGATCGACAATAAGTATTATTGGGCCTCGTTCTGCCTTCCTTATACTCTTGTAATGAGGTTCATCAGAATGATAACGGCTCTTGAAATGCATTGACAGCATTTGTCTAGCATTGGAATCGTCCTGCTTAGGCAAAATTACTTTGAGTGCGTTGTTAATAGATTCAAAAGAACATGAATACCCAATGTAAACTGCCAGCTTATATAATAAAATCTTTTGTTCTTGTGTTATGCTGAAACCAATTAAAAATTTAACTTGATTGTAAAATAAATATTAATTATAGTAAAAGTAAATTATTGTATAATATAATTCTTACTTGAAATCTTTTATGCAATCATCAATCTCTTTGCAAATAATCTTATAATCATCCTGATTACTTTTTAATTTCCCAAGTAACAAGCTGGCGATACCACCAAAATAATCTTCAAATTCTAACAACAATGTCTATAAAAAACAAAAGTAATGGCATATCATTTATGAAAGCAATTCAAATGTTAATATTTGGAGGTACCTTATAATTTAAATGTAACTCGTTTCGTGACTTTTTTTTGTCAACTTCATATTCATGCAATATATCCAACAGTTCAGTTAAAATACATTTACTACCTGGAATTACATTGAGAAAAGCATTAACATCGTTTAGGACTATTTACAAACAACAAAGAAAATCATGTTACATTAGCATATTTCAATTTTTCAAAATCTGACAATAGTCAGAAGATTGTAAAAATAACTGTATAAGTAAATCATTTGCAATATGCAAATCAACAAAATAAAGAAATCTAATCCAACATAATTATTGTTTACACACATATACTAAAATAAAGTTAAATAATTACCTTTATTAGGTTTAACACATATTGTTATAGGTTGGTGATTTTTAATGTCCACGTTTTCACCTGAAAATATAGTGATATATATGGGTAATGTCGACAAGTTTCGACTAATGGGCCCTACCATGTCATTTTGACATGGCCCCTTTGTAATTTGCGCTATTGTCCATTCTACAACAAAATATGTAAAACTTTTTGTTAGATTTTTGAATATAAATAATTCTTTATGATATTGATATTGTAAAAAACTTTTATACTTTAACTCTTTATACTTTAAAATATTAAATTAATCATTACAAGCTTATTAGACAGAAAGGTCTTTTAGTTTACCTGGTGGTAGACCTTCATTCAATTTTTTCATAGATTCAATGTCAGTGGAATGCGAGATGCATTTTACAAATGGTAGTGAATTAAAGTCATTGCCTATTGCATCTGCTTTTTGATTATTATTTATATAGTATTCCACAAAATCATCTTTTAATGCTTCGAGTAATTTATTCTCTTTCCATTCCTTTGTGTTGTACTTTTTAACAATAGAATTAAATGCTTGCTCACTACAGACTGTAGCTGCACCATTTTTATTCAATTTGTGATTGAATAATTTATTGATATATGGGCGAAGAGCAGGTCCTAATGATTCTTGAAAGTTATAAGCACATGAAAGTAAGTCACCTTTATTGAATGCAAAAACACCTAGATATTTCCTAAGATCTAAAATAAAATCAGTGCTTCTGTTGTCTTTCACTGCTTTTAAAACAATTTTATTATAAAATTATTTATCTTATTACTTACTGGTGTAAACCAAAGAGCTGGGATCAATTGTCGTCAGATTTAAAGTTGATTCTATGAAAGATTCAACATTTTCTTCAGAAATTACATTATTTTCTAGTGCTTCTAATAATTTCTTGACCTCAAAGATTTGGCTCGAATCTTCCATTCTCAGTAAGTGTTAAACATAACAACGTTTATGTTTCTGAATTATATCATCATTTATATTGTCTTTCATCATATCATATATCATAGTTTATATTGTATTATATTTACATTATTAGTCTAGGTTGTATCATTTCGGCAGTTAAACTGAATAATTCACACGAAATATAACCAACAAGACGTACGGAGCGGTGGCGACATCTGACACAGAACCATATGAACCCGGTAGTCACTACGTAGTTCCTCACGAACTGGGAACAATTTTGCATAGAGGCGCTGCAATCAATCGCCTTAGAATCATAGGAATCTAATTGGATTCCTTTTACGCAAGAACTGTCAAATGTTAGTTCCTCAAGAACTGGGAACAATTTTGCATAGAGGCGCTGCATGCAATCGCCTCCTGAATCTAGGAATCTAACTAGATTCCTTTATACGCTTTTATATATAATTATGGTTCCGGCTTAGGAGAAATATCAATGTATATACTTATATATGCAATTTCCCTACAAACTACGGCATGTAGTCCAAATATAATGATGAAAAAATCAATATATACATTTATATATCCATTTTCCATACAAACTAAGATAGCTAGTCCAAATATAATGATGGAAAAATCAATATATACATTTATATATCCATTTTCCATACAAACTAAGATAGCTAGTCCAAATATAATGATGGAAAAATCAATATATACATTTATATATCCATTTTCCATACAAACTAAGATAGCTAGTCCAAATATAATGATGGAAAAATCAATATATACATTTATATATCCATTTTCCATACAAACTAAGATAGCTAGTCCAAATATAATGATGGAAAAATCAATATATACATTTATATATCCATTTTCCATACAAACTAAGATAGCTAGTCCAAATATAATGATGGAAAAATCAATATATACATTTATATATCTAATTTCCATATAAACTAAGACAGCTATTTCATATATAATGATGGAAAAATCAATATATACATTTATATATCCAACTTCCATATAAACTACGGTAGCTAGTTCAATTATAATGATGAAAAAATCAATATATACATTTATATATCCATTTTCCATACAAACTAAGATAGCTAGTCCAAATATAATGATGGAAAAATCAATATATACATTTATATATCTAATTTCCATATAAACTAAGACAGCTATTTCATATATAATGATGGAAGAATCAATATATACATTTATATATCCAACTTCCATACAAACTACGGTAGCTTAGTTCAATTATAATGATGAAAAAATGAATATATACATTTATATATTCATAATTCCTAATTCGAACAGTTTTTGATTTTATATATAATTTATTCAAATATAATATCATCTAGAATATAACCCAATACTGCCCTCACGAGAATATATAAAATGTATATATATATATATATATATATATATATATATATATATATAATATATATATATAAATATTTCACTAAAACCACATCGATTCCTAAAGTTTCACTACTGTATAAAAAATATATAAATGTTTATATGGATATTTTATTAAAACAATAAATTTGAATCATCACTTGCAATTTTATTCAACCACTTTCTTTACATATTAATTACATCTTAAAATATACAATATATATTAACTATTTTTACTAGTATTTAAGTATACAATATTTAAAATGATCATATATATATATATATACATATATATATATATATACACATATATATATATATATATATATATATATATACGAGTATATATATATATATATATAAGAAAAGAGATTTTCTTATCAAAGACTTATTTATACATATGTACAGTGAGACACGCCCAACAAGCAATTTTCGTGTTTGAAATTTTGAATATATTTGTTAGTTCACAAAGTGAGTGTTTCACTTTAAGAGTTTGCCTGTTGAACGATAGTTGTGCTTGTTCAAACTGAATTATATGCATATATATATATATATATATATATATATATATATATATATATATATTAGGGTGGTCCTTAAAATGATCATTTTCGAATTTCCTTGCTCCCAGGGGCTCAAATGGTTTCAAATAGATAAAAAACAATTCTCTGAAAGTTTTAGCTCTTAATATTAACGTTTAGATAGAGCGCAATTCAATCAAAGTTTTGTATGAAGATAGCATGGAAAAATTTTCAAAAATTAAAAAAATGTTTTTTAGATGTAATTTAGCGAACAAATGAATGAATAAAACTCATTCATTTGTCGCTTAGTTATACCTAACACATTTTTTTTAAATTTTCAAAAATTTTTCCATGCTCTTTCCATACAAACTTTGATTGAATTGCGCTCTATCTAAACGTTAATATTAAGAGCTAAAACTTTCAGAGAATTGTTTTTTATCAATTTGGAACCATTTGAGCCCCTGGGAGCAAGAAATTTCGAGAATGACCATTTTAAGGACCACCCTAATATATATACATATAAATATTTACATGTATATATATATTATGTAAAAATTATTTAATTTGGCAAGCGCTTTATTATTAAGATGAACACATAAAAGAAAAGTAAGTGATCAAGAGCTAAAAATTTTGAATAACAAAAACCTCTAATTTTTATACACTTAAATCTAAGCACAGACATGCACAAAAATAAAATTAATACATTCATGATCAGAACTTAGGTATTTCTTTACAAATGTTATCATTAGATTCAAATCCATATTCACGCACTCATTCGCACATGCACTTTACTATTAACATATATTTTACACACAGCAGCACTTTATTATATATATATATATATATATATATATATATAAATTGTGAATTGTATAACAAAACGCACATCACTCAAATAATATACATTCATACTACACTTAACAAAAAAGTATCTACAAATATTAATTATACATTGTCTTCAATTTATCTCACAGCCACTCCATTAACAGTTACAGCATGGGGACGTCTGGGCTCTGGTTCATATCCGTGGTACTGGTTAGAACCAATAGAACCAGGATAATTAGCTGAATGAGGATAGCCTTGCGTTGAAGGGGGCCCGCTACCTCTGACAGAAGCATAAGGGGCGTCGTAAAGACCGTCTGACATGTCATAAGTACCTGTGGAGAATAATGAGGTTGTAATTCAATTAGCTACATAGCCATCACAAGATAGATAGCCACATTGTCAATATTTTATCCAAAGTATTTTTTTCGTGGTTAGATTTTTTTATTTGAGCATTGTTATTTAGTTTACAACGCCTGAATAAAATTTTTAAGTAGTCGTTAGTTAATTGTTTTATAAGATGTATTCTTATTTTTAAGTTGGCTTTAACAATTATTTTATATAACCACTAGAATAGCTTACATGTGGTTGGGGTAAAAAGAACCACCTGCACCTTTACACTGGCAAGGTGCAACAACTCTCTTACATTGCATTTAAAATGCTTACCTTGATGTCGATTCGTTTGCCCATCAGTTAATGTTGCATAACTTACAACTGCTGCATTTGCATCTTCTTTTCGTTCGGCACCTTCAATATTTTCAGTATTTTTGACTGGCCTAGCCTTTCGTCTATTATTAAAAGATAAATATCAGTATCAACTAAATATGATATACTTCAATACAGTTAGAGTGTGGGAATATCCAGTTATACAGAAAGTATATACATATATTTGTTTTCCATAATTTCCTCGATTTATAATATGTAAAAGTATTCAAATGCAGAACAAAATATTTCATCACTTACAATCGCATGTATATGAGTCCCATAAGAAGCAGAATAAATAATAATATTCCAGATGCAACCCCGATCGCTAATCCAAGAACACCTCCATCTTGAGTAGCCTCATCTGCTGCAACTGCAAAAATTTCAAATTTAAACTTACAATAAAAATACTAACATATTATTGTTATAAGAAAGTCGAATCAATATTACCTTCACATCGTGGTATTGTTCCTGACCATGAACCATCTTCAAGGCACCTTCGCAAATAGGGTCCCTCACGCCGTCTACCAGGAGCGCAATGGTGTTCGGCACTAGCACCATAAATTCTCGAAGAGTTCACTAATACCACTCGACCAAATTCAATATCTTCAGGTAAAGGACACTCCACAGCTGTTAAAAGAATCATGAAAACTTATATATTTCAGAACATTATGTTCAAATAGTAATACCCAATTATTGCCTATAAAATCTTAATACATTTAAATATCTAAGAAGAGATAAAGATTAAATTCGAGAATTATTTCGCAAACGATGTCTTTTACCGTTTGGCAATGATTTATCTGTCCAGTTGTTAAAATTTTTGTAAAATAATGTTAAATTTTATCTCGATCTTACGTTTGCATCTGGCAGGTTTTCCGGTCCACTTTCCTAGTTCGTTGCAGGTACGAGTGAGATTTCCCAGGGGAGAAGAACCTTTTGGACAATTGTAAGTCACAACTGCGCCGACGGTGACACTTGACAAGGTAACGCTTGCTCCGTCCAAAAGTTCGGGCTCGGGGCATGTCACTTCTGCAATTACCGAAATGATGTAAATAGGCAACAAAGGTAAGTAAAAAAAAATCCAAATCCGTAGCAAAAATCCGTTGCAAATGAGTGCTGTTTGTTCATATTTCTAAATTATATTTATATATATATTGTTGTACACCCCTGATATTACAAGTTGCTAACCACTGTCATAATATTAGATTTCTAACAAGTCCAGACTGAAATCTTAGAACCCCTGAGCTTTAGCTGATATTACCGGTTCATATTAACTTTTCTCAAACTACTGCGTAGTAGCTGACATTAACATTCTCTCACGAAATCATGAATCTACATCGACAAATCTCACCAAGATCATATTATTGACATTCCGCCTAGTTAACAATTCTCACCAAGTTCGCATGAATAATATTTTGTTTAATCAGCTAAATTCATTACTTTGTCCTTTTCGTTGCATAGAATATTCGAGACAAATCCCCACTACGTTTCAAAGGACTTTAGTTTTAATAATTATGAAATAAATCAGTCTTAATCTGTCGGTCGCCGGGCAAACACTTCTCTTCCAATACCTCCGAGTTCCTTGTACTTAAATTGTAATAAAGTGAAGTTTTTGAAATAGTCTTTTCATTTATCAATCTCAAGTATTTTCAGCAAGTGAGTTTTCAGGAACTCCGGAAGGTCCAGAGCAACAACACCGATTTGAATATAGCGGTGCCAACAGCCCTTTCTGTTCATCAACGCGGTGCCCAACAATATATATATATATATATATATATATATATATATATATATATATAATCAAACCTTCGCATTTCGGAGCATCACCACTCCACGTTGCATTCTCCATACAAAGTCTTCTAGAAACTCCAACAAGTTTGAAATTTGGTTCGCATTCATATAATGCTGCGGCACCATAATATGATGCATTGCTTGCCAAAGTTACGCGACCGTGTGTAACTGATGGTGCAGAACCACAATCCACAACTAAAATGATAATAAATTGGTGAATATTCTAAATGAAATTTATTTGGTAGAACTTTATGGAAAATCGCTTACAATGACAATTTGGAACATCACCGCTCCAATGTCCAGTTTCTTCACACGTGCTCAATGCTTCTCCTTGTAAAGTATGTCCTCTGAAAATGAAATTGAGGAGAATAATATAGAGACATAATTTTTAATCGTGTTTTTAAATATTACTGCAATTTGTGCAGTAGAACTAATCCCAGTGTTCTATGAGCTGTTGTGACGAATTTTCTTCTACCAAGCATTATTAAAGAGCAACCCAATGGTTGTCCTTTCTCTGCAATAATTTTCATACCAGTAAAATATGATTTCGAAAAGCAATTTTCAATCGGAAAATTTGGATCTTTATTAGCAAGTGAATATAAGCAAGTATTTCAATCCGAAACCCCGTGGTTGCAAGATCGCGGATCTTCCCTCTGTACTTTGAATGCCCTATAGTTTTTAAATAAAATCAAGTTTTACTAGTTTATTACCTTTCACATCTGTATTTTGCTACGGCTCCCACTCTGAAGGTTCCTGCTGAGCTTCCAGAACTTGATTCAGAAGTACGGATTAATGTCCGGCCATACATTCTGTCATTTCCAGTTACTGATACAATACTGTGCTTTGCAATTGTAGGTTCAGGACAACGGATTTCTGCAAAAAATACCATTTTATTTATTAGTAAAAACAAATAAAAAACCTTATTTGTTTTTATACCATAAATCACTGAAACTAACATTACTTAAGAATCTCATTAGATTCATTGTTAGAAAATGAGTAAAGCAAACAAACCAGAGACATATAGAAAGAAAATAATTAGCATAAACTAATTTAACTTAACAATATCAAAGAAATTAATGTTTTTAAAATTTACTATCTGTCCATTACCATCGCATTTTGGTGCTGCATCACTCCACCGACCGTTGTCCAGGCAGTATCGTCGTTTGGAACCCCTAAGTCGATGACCAGAAGAGCAGGAATACTCTATCTCACTACCCAAATGTGTGGTACTATTTACATAATTAACACGCCCAGAAGCTAATTCTGGTACACGTCCGCAATCGACATCTGAAAAAAACATGTATTAATGAGGAACAAGTGCAAATTTTCAATATCGTAATATTAAATAAATAATACATATTTAAGTATTATGAATCTGCTTACATTCGCATTGAGGTTCGGGTCTGCTCCACTCTCCATCAGGTCTGCATTCTGCTTCGGAAGGCCCCCTTCTTGCATGACCTGCTTCGCAATGGTATTGAATGGTGGAATGAACATTGAAATCATATCCGACGACGTAACCGCCTGCTGGCACATCGGGCTCCAAACACGTTATTACTATAGACAAAACATATTATTAAGAAATCAGTATGAAAGTAATGCTACAAATTTACAAATCATTTAAATTTTCAACGTACATTCGCAAGACGGTGTCGGTGTGCTCCAAACTCCATCCCTGGTACAAACGGCTTCCGACTCTCCTACCAGCCAGTGATCTGCATCACATGCATATCTGAAAAAAAATTATATAGCAAAAAATCATTGATATAGTAAATAACAATACAATTCTCAACTAAACACATATTCCTAATTTCATTGTCTATTTCCAAGTATTACTTCTTTAAACTATCTATTTCTAAGCCATTATTTCTTACTTGACTACACCACCATATGGCACCGGTCCACTAGGACCTTCTGATGAACTCCCGGCAGAGCTTCCATCTCTGGTTGGTAAACCAGATAATACGAGGGTAGCATTACCAAATGCAGGTGTTTTAGGCGGTGGACATTCTACCCATTTACATTCAGGAATAGGCTTAGACCAAGAGCCTCCCAATTCACATTTTATAGTCTAGGAGCAAGAAAGAGGTAAAGGATTGATTACTTCATTCATGCACAATATTAGTTGAATCTCGTTAACTGGTATTTTCTTATGTTTAAGTTTAACTATACTTTCCAAATTGTTTTCACAAGACCCAAAAATATTAGTTATTGATTATCATTTAAAAATGATCCTGTTCTACTCACCGCTTCTCCAAATAAAGTATACCCCTTCTGACATTCATATTTGACTTCTGTTTTAGCTTTAAGAGCACGATCCAATGTAGCATCTAGAACAGAGCCTTCCACTTTTGGCGGAGCTGGGCACCAATGTAATAAACATCTAGGAGTCTCCACGGAAGCGCCACCACCCCATGTACCATCGCCATCACATTGTCGGCGCTCCGCCCCTGCACAGAGAAAAATTAGAAAAATCCTTGTTTTAATTTCACACACGCCAAACTGCAAAGATTCTACAAATGCTTGTGATTTATAGGTTCAATTTTTTATAATATAAGTGAATCATAAAACTACAATATTATCAGATCATCTTATCAGTTGTCAATAATGTGCATAATGTATCATAATCTAAAAACATAATAATTTTGTTGAAAATATCTTGAACTGATAGCCATAAAACTGCAATGCAATAGTATGTATTTAATAAATGTTAAATCAAATTTTATATAATGTATAGACTTTTACCAATTTATTGCCTTTCATAAACACTATTGCTTACCAACTAGTGTGTAATTTTCATGGCATGTATAAATAGCACTCGCGTTATAAGTTGTTCTTTTGTCTATCAAAGACACTGTTCCATGATCCAAAGTTGGTGGTGGACCACATTCAACGACTGAAATAACAAAATATAACAAATTACGATTTATCAACCTTTATATCATTTTTTATCCATACATTATCATTTACTTACATTTACAAGTGGGTGCTTTACCAGTCCATTCTCCGCGTCTGCAAGTTCTTAGTGCTTCTCCTAGCAGCATGTGTCCATCTGGACATGCGTATTTGGTCGTAGAACCTTCTTTCATATCACCGGAACCTCCGCTGATTAGTTGGGTCAAAGAATTCCTGTCAGGTGATCCGCACTTTGCAGGCACTAGAAGAAAACATTTCTATAGAATTTCCATCGACATTACCTTCGATAAATAACATTTAATAAGAATTAGAAACAGAGTAATAAAAATATACCCACAATATTGACAAATCCAATGCAAGTAATCCAAATTGCATCCAACATCGTTCCACAGCCAGCCCCTACCGCCATCCAGAACTGCGCAATTTTGCTCACCATTGTAATTATTGGGCTGGTCTTTACCCCATGCTGGTCTCGACACTGTGGCATCTGCAATATAAATTATAGAAGAAGTGAATAATATTTGTTGTAATAACATGATTTATAAAACAATAATGAATAATAGAACTTACTATTAACCCATTTCCAAGTACTAGCTGCTATACCAGGTTCTTTCTGGACCCCAATCCATACCAGTTGAGTTTTAAGGGATTCTTTCCTTCGGTCCAGCTCAGACAACAAAAAACTAAAAACCATAATATTTTTGTATCATGAATTTTCAATTAGAAATATTTTTAATTAATATAAGTACTTTTACTACATTAATAGATACAATATTACAAAGGTCATTATTTCATGACATTTAGCTCAAGATGTGATTTGGTCCATCCAGTTAGTTGAGTGCATTAGGGATAGTTAGTGTTTTTAATCTAGGAGTTTAAAATTATTAATCCCTTTGACCTTTCCCTTACCTTTGTGTAAGTGCATCATAATCGTGAAGTAGATCTCCACCGTGTTTTTTACAGGAATCCCGAGCCTCTGCAAAGGAGGCGCCGCGCTGAGAAGCAAATTCGTAGCATGATCTAGTAAAAGAGGCGACTTGAAGGGACGCAGCAGCCCCCTGAGGTGCACAAGCATCGCTAGAAAATTCTGGAGATAACAGATAAAAATTTGTTATCTATATTAAATAATAATAATAATCATTGAAGACCTAAGCTGTATTGTAAATAAAATTACCATCGGCTGTAAAAACTTCAACTTCACACAAAGAAAGAGCAGCCTGTGATCCCACCAGTTGTACTGCAACATATCTGCCAACAACTGGCCTGGCACATGCAAATGACTTTGTAACTCCTTCCTCTGATAAAAAAAAATAAATTAAATTAATAACCTAAACCTAAACCTAAACCTAAAACTGAAAGCCCAAAAAGATGTGTTACGAATTGTTGTCACATTGTGGTGAGACCTTAGGGATTCATGAAAATTGTTACTGGGCTTACCGACAGTACCAGGATACCAGGCACACAATGGATTCCTTTGTAAGTCCGTACTGCTGTTACCAACACGAATTTCTAAATCTTGTAAAGGTTGTTGGCCACAGCAACCCCTGTAAAACATTAATGATAATGGACCATTCATAATAATCAAGTTTATTATAACTATTAAATAAAATTTAAGCAAAAGTCAATGATTTCGAACTGGCAACAATGGAACTTGAAACTGGAACAACTATGTTCCAATTCCAAGACTTTGGTCCATTATGGTCTTCTACCTGGTAGCTATCCTGACTAGACGAACTTCGTAAGGTATCAGTAAATCAACACTCCACCAAGGAGCTGGTTCCTTCAAAGTTTCAGAACACTTTCTATCACCTCCAGATCCATGACCATCGTTTGCGTGCTTTGCAGAACCTCCTCGAGCTTCTGATGACTGATTTGCCGGTCTGTGCAGAGCTACATTGACACCTGGTTAAAGAAAAAAACATAATAAATTGTTAATAATAAAAACTATAATGACAATTTATCATACAAACGACAACATTAATTCTTTCGCTGGACTAGTGCTTTCCTCAGGAGAGACACTGCTGTACAAGCCAAAGAGCCGCCCAGTAGCGCTACTGAACGAACCAGACACTACAGCATATTTTAAGACTTTCCAATTACCTCTCTTACTATTTTCAATAAATTTTCAGAATACATATACAAAAAATCACTTATATAACTTACAAGTTCTAAATTTTATTATGATAAGTTTAGCGGGACAAAATAAAGAAGGATATAGTATGAAGCTTCAAGATATTGTACTAACAAGGAGGACCCGCGCGTTGCTCGTCTGGGATTTTGATGAAATTTGGCATAATGGTAGGCTTTATGCCCAAACTGACCGTGGTAAAATATTAGAGGCCTGTGAAAAGCGGTTTAGTTATAAAAATTAATTAAAGTTTGCATTTTTGCAGCGCACTGTGCACATAGCTTGGAACGCTTGGAGATATAATATGTCTTTTAGGATTTCGTGTACTTTTAGATTTAGGATTACATCTACTTATGCTTTTTTCATTATATTTAATAATTTAAGTGCTTAGCCCTTTATCTCTTCAAGTTTTATTACACAAGTATGAGTCTTGTGTTCTTGCAATAATAATAATGCTTTATTACTGAGACAAAGAATATAAAGTACACTATTGTATTTCTATTAATTATGATAATAATGTAAGTTTGTGAATGATGACTATCGCTTACAAACTTGTTATAAGATTCAGAAAATAATTACCGGTAAAAGTTAGTTATTGTATGTTAAATAGGGAAATCGAATACGTGTACCCATGGTGGTAAAAAATTGTAGAATATGTTTTTATTGATCTGGGAGATAAATATTCTGTAAAGCATAGTTTCTCAATAAGAAGTCACAAAAAAGGCTTAAGGCTTTAACCAGTATTTGAGTGCAATAAATTTATTGCAATTGAGAAACTGCAAAGTCATGCCAAAGAAACAGATTATTTCATTTATTATGAAATTTGGAGTTTCATCGTGAAGTAAATATTTAGAAGTATTGACTTCTGATTAGAGGTTCCTAGTTAGATACTCTCCTTGGACAGACTAATATCAAGCAGTAGTAATAAAATGTAAAAATTAATTAACTAAACATGGTATAATACTGAGACTACTACTACAGTTCTAAATAAAAACTTACACCATGTTGCTTGCATTTATTACCATCTTGATTCGTATGCAATAATGTATTCCTCTAGAATTATCTTTTACCATTACATAAAAAGACACTTTAGATAATTATGTTACATTTGCAATTCTCATGTGCAGTCGATTGAAGGATACGTGAAAGGCAAAACAATAAAGACATCTTATAGATACATTTATTAAGATTTTCTCATGTTTAAATATTCACGATACTCTTGTAAAAATGATAATAATCTGGGAATGTCAAATAGTAATGGTAGGAAACAAAGTAATAAAGATAAATTGATCAGAAGGACAGTTGCAGCTTAAAAATGCAATCATAAAATTAAGTTAACTATGTTATATGTTTAGGTTAGATGTTCTCCTCGGGCAGCCTAATATCAAGCAGTAGTGACATTGGTGAATGATTTTTCATGATTTAAAATACTTTTTTAAAATCGATTTTACACGATTTAAAATTTTGTAAATGATGACAATTAATAAAGATTGAAATAACTTAGTCATTATTTATAAGTAAATATTGTTAATATTATAACGAATGAGAAAACAACTATTGAGTTATTTTTCCAACATGTCCATTTAGTACACAAAGTTCCTCTAACGGCTGACAATTGTAAATACCCCAAATTTATTAAATGTCCTTAACTGGACAGTTGTAAATAAAATAGAGAATAAAAAAATATCACAAGGAAACTATAAGTATATCTATTAGGGCGGGTCAAATAGTAAGAAATTAAAAAATTTACCGGATCATCTCGATTCTGTTCCTAAGAGTTCATTTCTACCATTTCAGGGGAAAACCACAGATCAGAAAGAAATTCGAAAAAAATCAGAAAGTTTTTTCTAGCCAAAGTGCTTTAGAATCGACAAAACCACATCTGGAATTTATTTTTAGAAATTACTGGCGCCAGAGGATATTTGAATGTTGAATTCATACAATTTTGTATGTAATTTTTTTTTTGATAATTTAATTATAATAGATATTATATTAATGAGATAGTCAAATGAAATGTATTTATAAAATATGAAAACTGTTTTCATAATCTCTTATACGAGGCACTTCTGCCTGAGATGTGAAAATAATGTGTACATATAAATAAAAAAAAATTGCTTAGAGATTCTTACTGACGAGTAAAGTGAATCTCGATTTGCGGAAGAGACTATCAAAACGCTATGTCTGCTGCATAGCTCTTTACGGATCAGAGACATGGACTCTAAAGAAGGCCGACAAACACTATCTGAGAGTTTTGAAATACGTTGCTGGAGGCGAATGGAGAAGATAAAGTGGACAGACAAGGTAACGAATGAAGAAGTCCTGAGAAGAGCGGGTGAAGAAAAGACTTCACTGACCACGATCTTGGAAAGAAAAGGAAACCAGATTGAATCCCTTCTGCCAAAAAAGTGTCTTCTATACGACGTCGTCGAAAGCAATATAGAAGGACGGGAAAGATTGTGAAGAAGAAGAATGCAGATGGTTGATGACTTACGAGAGAATAGGAAATACAGGGAACTAAAAGCTGAAGTACATGACCAGGGAGCATGGCAGCAGAAGTTTGGAAAGTAAAATTCATAAGAACGAGTATAAAGTGATTAATGGTCATTAATTAGTGGTAATAAAACAGTAATAGGAATAGTAAACAAGAGAGGAGAAAAAATCAATTTTGTGGTGCTGTGATCTCATACCTTAGTTCTGCTTTCGCGCATATTAAATATTCATTATTTATCCTTTATCCTATTAACTTACCACAAAAAGGTATATCACCCCGCCATTTCTTCTCAACCTGGTCACATGAGACAGAGCCAGGTGCTCCTAATAATTCATAACCAGGATCACACAGGTAATCTGCGTTGAGTCCTTGATTTGTATACCTATATCGGGCGTTTGGTGGTACTTGGGGTGCTCCACAAGGACTGCTCACTTCTGTTAAAGGAGGAAAAGATAATATTTATTTTTGTACATTAATATATATATATATATATATATATATATATATATATGTAGATTTTGAGATGATTTTGAATTTTGAATATAATCTAATTAAAATAGATTCAATTTTAGTTCATGCGAGTCAAGAGTAGTAGAGCGAGTAGTCAAGTATATTTGTCGAATATTATACTACTGCTTGACATCAAGCTGCCCGAAGCGGGTATCGAACCTGTAACTTCTGATCCCATAACACAATTCACAGGGGAGACCAACGGAATAAATAAAATTATTACAATTTCGATCACGCCATTCCGAAAAACTATTCAGATTATATAACGCAAATCTGATCGCATATAAATGGTTGTGAAGACCAACTGTGCATGAAGATTCAACACAGATTAGAAAAATCTGATTTGAATATTATTGAAGGTCTCATTAACATATAAATTTCTACATTTAAACAACGACTCAAAACTCATTAGAATTGTATATAATGTGTTAGATACATGTGCGAACAAGAAAATATTTAGAACAAGATATTTATAAAAATATTAATAGGCAATTAATAATAAAAAATCCTATACGTTTTGACAAAATGTGTGTCAGTTTATTCCATGAAAACAGATACACACATAAAAAAATAATTATCTTGATTATAAAGACAAGACATAACAGTTAATAGTTGAAAATTATTTAAAAAAAATTAAAAAACCTAAATGTATGATAATGATATAAAATATTTATTTTTTGTTAACGTTGTTACAAATTAAGTATTTGGTATAGAATTAGTGTTAATCGTTGAATGTAGAACATATAACAGAAAAATTAGTAACTTTTTATTTCAGATGATATAAGGTGCAACCTTCGATATTCATTTCTGCCAACTTGATATCAAGCAGTAGTGATATCAATTTTAAGGTACAATCACAGATCTAAAGTGTAATTATAAGTCAAAATGGCCTTTTAGGTCCTATGACCTATAATATATACCACAAAAAATTAATAACTTTTTAGTGCCCCATTCGATATTCAATTCTGCTCGATATCAAGCAGTATTGATATCAATTTTCAGTCAAAATCATAGATCCAAAGTGTAATTTTAAGACAAAATAGCTTTTCAGACATTGCTGCAATATATATAACATCTCTATTGTAGAATAAATAAATGTATTAATAATATCATCAGAAAGTAAATGGTCAACCACTGGGTTTCCTTCTAATAAAGCTGGGTTAAGACATTACCAGCTCATAGCCATAGTTCTGATTGCTCTTCAAATATAAAACAAAAAAGTTGATTCATGAAGATATATAATTTTACAACACAGTAAGACCATGCTGCATAATTAACATATATCAAAATAAAATTAAAGCGACTAATGCGCCACTGCAACAATTATTTATATGTTGCATTTAATATTCAAAGAAAATCAAAGAAATCCATCCTTGAATTATTGGATATAAAATACTTATATAACAACTCGTCGAATTTTCCGTTATATGATCTTGAATATGCAAAACTATGTAGGAAATTATTAATATCTCTGCTAGCTTTTATTGCAATAACAGTCATACAACAAAAAACATTTGATAGATTTAAAAATACAAATTATATCATAACTATTAACCAACTCTTTATATATAGAATAAATTATTAATTAATTTCTTTATAAGAGAATTAAAAAGGCACTCTTATGAATACTGTATGTTATCAATTTTAATACAATATCAACAGTATAATTTTATAGGAATTATTGAAATGAAAAGGACATTAGCAAAAATTTTTCCCAATTTGACTTTTAAAAAATATTTTACCTTAATAAGCTTGAATAATTCATTTATATTTCGCAATTGCATAATATTCTTCGAATTATTATTCTTGACAAATAATAAATAATTTTACCTATGATTATGAACACAATCATCGAAATTTCTACATACAAATTTTATCATTAATTATATCTCTGATTTAGCAAGAATTATTATGTGTTAAAACCCATAAAAAGTACTTTTATTTATATTTAATTAGACCAATTAATTAGAAGAATAAATATTCTATGAATGCAGAAGGTCATTTAAATGGAATAGTTTGAATTAACCAATATTGCAGAATAAAAATTACATTTTCGATAGAAATATTGCAATTAAAATTCAATATTCATTACTGTAATTATCGAAATATAAATTTTTCGTTCAAATGAAGTATTTCGATAAAAGTTTTGAAATAAAGATTGCACGATTAGATTTTTGATGATATTTTGTGATTTGAAATTTATAAACTAAATTACATTTTTAAATTATCTGAGAACAAAAATCAGTTGAAGTAAATAATAAAATAATAATAATAAGGTAGAAGTACATGCAGATAAAAATTTCAACTGTTTATTATTTAAATAAAATTTTTGCTTCATAATATATGTTATTATATTGGATGTCCTAAAAGCGCAGCCCATTTTTCCAAATTTTAATGAATTTTTATAAGTTGACTACTTTTCGTGGGCCTCTAATATTTTAGGATGTTAATTTAGATCATGAACCTTATCGCTATTTTAAGTTACATTGCGGACACTAAAAAAACTTTTACAAACATTTAATTACCAAAAAACTACTAAGCGGATCACTTTGCCATGAATTCAGATAAATATTTGGGAATCACCATGATTTTTTTTTATTAAACGTCGACGAAAAATTATAATCTTGTAATAATAAAATTGCTCGGCCGATTGTCCCGAAAAATTAATGCCAGTCCTTATTGAGTATCATTAATAGACTTCTAAATTTCTAAAATCGGTGCAGTCGTTTTTGAGAAAATGTCGACCAAAGTCACATTTTGGCTCACATATACATATGCTCATATACACATAATTTTCCAATTTTAGATTTCGATTCAAAACGACTTGAAATGTCGAGAGACCATAAAATAAGCAATCCGTTTTTTTGCCAAAAACAAACTTCTTTAGAATTTTGAAAAACTTCATGAATAGCCTTTTAAATCTTAGAAATCGGTGCAGCCGTTTTTCAGAAATTGTAGCGAAGGTCAAATTTTGTCCTAAATATACACATTCTTATAGACATACATACTTTTCCAGTTTTCTAGGCCAAAATCAATTTTTGGCTGACATATACATATTCTCATGCACACACATACTTTTCCAATATCAGATTGTGATCCATAAATCCTTGAAATATCGAGTAAACAAAATTAGCAAATCGCGTTTTTTGCCAAAAGCAAACTTCTAAAAAATAAATTTTTGCCAAGAGCAAAAAAAATCGGTCTAGATGTATATGAGAACATGTCGACCAAAGTCAAATTCTGGCCCAAATATACACAGGCCCATCCATACGCACACATACTTTTCCAATTTCCGATTCAGGTTCATAAAGACTAGAATTAGCAATTTTTTCCAAAAGCAAACTTCTTCTTAAGATCTTAAAAAATCTTGCATTCCATAGTTAACAAGAACAACACAGTAGCAGGGTAAATGCTAATTTAAAAAAAAATGATTACATGTGAAAATTATTAGTTTATTATTATGATCTGACAAGGTATCATTAGACGACCTGGAACAATAAGGAAATCAGTTAGGCAGTGACATACATCTTCTGAATTGTTGTCAGTGTCACGCCTATTTATCTGATGATGCGAGCTGCATGACGATTGTTCAAAAATACAGTTAGGCTCACTGAACTATTTCACTTAATCTTATTACAACGCTGACAAAGTATCACTTCAATATTATCTCGAAATAAAATGCACCAAATTACCAGTCGACAGCAGCTGCTGAATTAAAACTATGATAAATTTAGACCAATGGCAGCTCCGCGAGCTATTGTATGCCAGCTGCTCTCTTTTTCATTATAATACCTCATGCACATGACCTTTTTTATGTGTCAGCATCTTTAAACACCATGGCGTATTTAGTGCATTAAATTAAATGGTGTATTTAGTACATTATATTAAAAACTTTAAATACGTTTTTCTCAAAATGACTTAAAATGACCAAAAAAATAAAAAAAATCTTTATATTCTATGATTTTGTAATTTTTGTTTAAAAAAACCGCATGTCTCTATGATAAATACATTTCGAGAAAAACAAAAACAAATACCTTGCATTTTTTGTAACAAAAAAACGAACAACCCCCTTAACAGTAGTTGCTGAAGGTTGATGGCATAAACATGACTTCATTAGGAATATGACAAAAATAGACCAGGCGCGTGTGCTGGTGTAAATGAATCTTAACCAGGAAGTTGTTTGTAACAAAAATATAACGGATAGCATATTTTAGAGGCAGATTTATAATGCAGCCAGTATACTTCTCTGTCGTAAAGACTTTTGCTTTGCAAACAGATTTGAGGCACGATATCGATTTTGGACAAAGTTTGATCAAGACCATTTCACTTAATCTTATTACAACGCTGACAAACTGTCACTTCGATATCATCTCGAAACAAAATGCAGAAAATTACCAGTCGACAGCAGTTGCTGAAGGTTAATTGCAAAAACATGACTTAATTAAAAATATGATAAATTTAGACCAGGGGCGTGTGCTGGTGTAAATGAATCTTAACCATGAAATAGAATAAAAATTTGAAAGTAGCATATTTTAGAGACAAATTGATGATGCCAGTATACTTTGATGTGGTAAAGGCTTTGGCTTTGTAAACAGATTTGAGGCACAATACCCAATTTGGTCAGAGCCTGATCAAGAAGTAGTGATCAGAATAGATCTATAATATTTTTACAAGTAAAATAGTTTTTTCCCAGCATTGCTGCTTCAAATTAAAAATATATCATCATTATTAGAAAAATTCTACTAATAAAATTATACAAAAACGACAATATATCAGATAAGCCAACAATTAGGTTGCCTTCTGAATAACGACTGTCTGATATCTGTTCAAACAATGAAAAAAAAACTTTTGAAGTAAAATTTCTTTAGGCGCGACTAGGGTGTAAATTCGTACAAATGCAACGGAATTTGCGTTACGCCCGCACTGTACGTTATTCGCTTGCGATTAAATCATTTCTATATGAGTCGATTGTGATTAGTAGTCCTGTATATGCATAAAGATCTGTCATTGTATTTGTACCGGCATCAACGCTGTACGCGTACCGATATCAATAAGGAAATTGGCATAGATAAATAAATATTTTAAAGTTACATCTTAGTACAAAACTTGATTTAATGAAAAATGCCTGAATCTGAAGAATATTTTACCCTGTTCCTTGAAAATAATAAAACAAATTAA